ACCTTGCTCATTCCTTCACTCACTCTGTACTGGCGTCAAACCATGCTTACCCCTTCACTCACTCTCTACTGGCGTCAAACCATGCTCACTCTCTCACTCACTCTGTACTGGCGTCAAACCATGCTCACCCCCTCACTCACTCTGTACTGGCGTCACACCTTGCTCACGCCCTCAATCACTTTGTACTGGCGTCACACCTTGTTCATTCCTTCACTCACTCTGGGTTAAAGGGTTCGCTCGTCACGCCGAAGACCAGGGTTCGATTCCCGACATGGGTACAATGTGTGAAGCCCATTTCTGGTGTCCCCCGCCGCGATATTGCTGGAATATTGCTAAAAGCGGCGTAAAACCATACTCACTCACTCACTCACTCACTCACTCACTCACTCACTCACTCTGTACTGGCGTCAAACCATGCTCACTCCCGAAACTCTGTACTGGCGTGAAACCATGCTAACTCCGTCACTCACTCGGTACTGGCGTCAATCCATGCTCACTCCCTCACTCACTCTGTACTTGTGTCAAACCATGCTCACTCCCTCACTCACTATGTACTGGCGTCAAACCATGCTCACTCCCTCACTCACTCTGTACTAGTATCAAACCATGCTCACTCCCTCACTCACTCTGTACTGGCGTGAAACCATGCTTACTCCCTCACTCACTCTCTACTGGCGTCTAACCATGGTCCCTCTCTCACTGACTCTGTACTGGTTTCAAAACATTTTCATCCTCTCACTCACTCTGTACTGGCGTCAAACCATGCTCACCCCCTCACTCACTCTGTACTGGCGTCCTTTCAAGCTCACTCCCTCACTCACTCTGTACTAGTATCAAACCATGCTCACTCCCTCACTCACTCTGTACTGGCGTCAAACCATGCTCACTCCCTCACTCACTCGTTACTGGCGTCACACCTTGCTCACTCCCTCACTCACTCGGTACTGGCGTCAAACCATGCTCACTCCCTAACTCACTCGGTACTGGCGTCACACCTTGCTCACTCCCTCACTCACTCTGTACTGGCGTCAAACCATGCTCACACTCTCAATCACTCTGAAATGACGTCAAACCATGCTCACTCCGTCACTCACTCTGTACTGGCGTCACACCATGCTCAGTCTCTCAATCAATCTGTACTGGCGTCACACCATGCTCACTCCGGATCCATCACTCACTCTGTACTGGCGTCACACCTTGCTCATGCCCTCACTCACTGTGTACTGGCGTCAAACCATGCTCACTCCGTCACTCACTCTGTACTGGCGTCAAACCATGCTCACTCCGGATCCCTCACTCACTCTGTACTGGCGTCAAACCTTGCTCACGCCCTCACTCACTCTGTACTGGCGTCACACCTTGCTAATTCCTTCACTCACTCTGTACTGGCGTCAAACCATGCTCACTACCTAAATCACTCGGTACTGGCGTCAAAACATGCTCACCCCCTCACTCACTCTGTACTGGTGTCAGGTCAAGCTCACTCCCTCACTCACTCTGTACTTGTGTCAAACCATGCTCACTCCCTCACTCACTATGTACTGGCGTCAAACCATGCTCACTCCCTCACTCACTCTGTACTAGTATCAAACCATGCTCACTCCCTCACTCACTCTGTACTGGCGTGAAACCATGCTTACTCCCTCACTCACTCTCTACTGGCGTCTAACCATGGTCCCTCTCTCACTGACTCTGTACTGGTTTCAAAACATTTTCATCCTCTCACTCACTCTGTACTGGCGTCAAACCATGCTCACCCCCTCACTCACTCTGTACTGGCGTCCTTTCAAGCTCACTCCCTCACTCACTCTGTACTAGTATCAAACCATGCTCACTCCCTCACTCACTCTGTACTAGTATCAAACCATGCTCACTCCCTCACTCACTCTGTACTGGCGTCAAACCATGCTCACTCCCTCACTCACTCGTTACTGGCGTCACACCTTGCTCACTCCCTCACTCACTCGGTACTGGCGTCAAACCATGCTCACTCCCTAACTCACTCGGTACTGGCGTCACACCTTGCTCACTCCCTCACTCACTCTGTACTGGCGTCAAACCATGCTCACACTCTCAATCACTCTGAAATGACGTCAAACCATGCTCACTCCGTCACTCACTCTGTACTGGCGTCACACCATGCTCAGTCTCTCAATCAATCTGTACTGGCGTCACACCATGCTCACTCCGGATCCATCACTCACTCTGTACTGGCGTCACACCTTGCTCATGCCCTCACTCACTGTGTACTGGCGTCAAACCATGCTCACTCCGTCACTCACTCTGTACTGGCGTCAAACCATGCTCACTCCGGATCCCTCACTCACTCTGTACTGGCGTCAAACCTTGCTCACGCCCTCACTCACTCTGTACTGGCGTCACACCTTGCTAATTCCTTCACTCACTCTGTACTGGCATCAAACCATGCTCACTACCTAAATCACTCGGTACTGGCGTCAAAACATGCTCACCCCCTCACTCACTCTGTACTGGTGTCAGGTCAAGCTCACTCCCTCACTCACTCTGTACTTGCGTCAAACCATGCTCACTCCCTCACTCACTCTGTACTGGCTTCAAACCATGCTCACTCCCTTACTCTCTCTGTACTGGCGTCACACCTTGCTCACGCCTTCACTCACTCTGCACTGGCGTCACACCTTGCCCATTCCTTCACTCACTTTGTACTGGCGTCAAACCATGCTCACCCCCTCACTCACTCTATACTGGCGTCAAACCATGCTTACTCCTTCACTTACTCTGTACTGGCGTCAAACCATGCTCACTCCCTCACTCACTTTGTACTGGCGTCAAACCATGGTCCCTCTCTCACTGACTCTGTACTGGCGTCAAACCATGCTCACCCCCTCACTCACTCTGTACTGGCGTCACACCTTGCTAATTCCTTCACTCACTCGGTACTGGCGTTAAACCATGCTCACTCCGGATCCCTCACTCACTCTGTACTGGCGTCACACCTTGCTCACGCCCTCACTCACTCTGTACTGGCGTCACACCTTGCTAATTCCTTCACTCACTCGGTACTGGCGTTAAACCATGCTCACTCCCTCACTCACTCTGTACTAGTGTCAAACCATGCTCACCCCCTCACTCACTCTGTACTGGCGTCCTGTCAAGCTCACTCCCTCACTCACTCTGTACTAGTATCAAACCATGCTCACTCCCTCACTCACTTTGTACTGGCGTCAAACCATGGTCCCTCTCTCACTGACTCTGTACTGGCGTCAAACCATGCTCACCCCCTCACTCACTCTGTACTGGCGTCACACCTTGCTTATTCCTTCACTCACTCGGTACTGGCGTTAAACCATGCTCACTCCGGATCCCTCACTCACTCGGTACTGGCGTCACACCTTGCTCACGCCCTCACTCACTCTGTACTGGCGTCACACCTTGCTAATTCCTTCACTCACTCGGTACTGGCGTTAAACCATGCTCACTCCCTCACTCACTCTGTACTAGTGTCAAACCATGCTCACGCCCTCACTCACTCTGTACTGGCGTCCTTTCAAGCTCACTCCCTCACTCACTCTGTACTAGTATCAAACCATGCTCACTCCCTCACTCACTCTGTACTAGTATCAAACCATGCTCACTCCCTCACTCACTCTGTACTGGCGTCAAACCATGCTCACTCCCTCACTCACTCGTTACTGGCGTCACACCTTGCTCACTCCCTCACTCACTTTGTACTGGCGTCAAACCATGCTCACTCCCTAACTCACTCGGTACTGGCGTCACACCTTGCTCACTCCCTCACTCACTCTGTACTGGCGTCAAACCATGCTCACACTCTCAATCACTCTGAAATGACGTCAAACCATGCTCACTCCGTCACTCACTCTGTACTGGCGTCACACCATGCTCAGTCTCTCAATCAATCTGTACTGGCGTCAAACCATGCTCACTCCGGATCCATCACTCACTCTGTACTGGCGTCACACCTTGCTCATGCCCTCACTCACTGTGTACTGGCGTCAAACCATGCTCACTCCGTCACTCACTCTGTACTGGCGTCAAACCATGCTCACTCCGGATCCCTCACTCACTCTGTACTGGCGTCAAACCTTGCTCACGCCCTCACTCACTCTGTACTGGCGTCACACCTTGCTAATTCCTTCACTCACTCTGTACTGGCGTCAAACCATGCTCACTACCTAAATCACTCGGTACTGGCGTCAAAACATGCTCACCCCCTCACTCACTCTGTACTGGTGTCAGGTCAAGCTCACTCCCTCACTCACTCTGTACTGGCGTCAAACCATGCTCACTCCCTCACTCACTCTGTACTGGCTTCAAACCATGCTCACTCCCTTACTCACTCTGTACTGGCGTCACACCTTGCTCACGCCTTCACTCACTCTGCACTGGCGTCACACCTTGCCCATTCCTTCACTCACTTTGTACTGGCGTCAAACCATGCTCACCCCCTCACTCACTCTATACTGGCGTCAAACCATGCTTACTCCTTCACTTACTCTGTACTGGCGTCAAACCATGCTCACTCCCTCACTCACTCTGTACTGGCGTCAAACCATGGTCCCTCCCTCACTCACTCTGTACTGGCGTCAAACCATGCTCACTCCCTCACTCACTCGGTAGTGGCGTCAAACCATGCTCACTCCCTTCCTCACTCGGTACTGGCGTCAAACCATCCTCACTCCCTCAGTAACTCGGTAGTGGCGTTAAACCATGCTCACTCCCTCAATCACTCTGTACTGGCGTCACACCTTGCTCACTCACTTTGTACTGGCGTCAAACCTTGCTCACTCCCTCAATCACTCTGTATTGGCGTCAAACCATGCTCACTCCCTCACTCACTCTGTACTGGTGTCAAACCATGCTCACTCCCTAACTCTGTACTGGCGTCAAACCATGCTCACCCCCTCAATCACTCTGTACTGGCGTCAAATCATGCTCACTCCCTCACTCACTCGGTACTGGCGTCAGGTCAAGCTCACTCCTTCACTCTCTCTGATCAGGCACTGTATGGATGAACTGGTTTCTCATCGCCGCGTTCTCCGTCTCCATCATGTTGCTGGTGCTGCTTGGGGAGGGGAGGAAGCGGTCTGATGTCGACGTCCAGAGACGTGAACATGATGAGGAGAAGTGAACATTCATCATCGTGCTGTACGTGGATTGTGTCACACTAAAACGGGTTCATGTCTGTGTGTGTCAGTGAACTGCAACTGGTGATTAGTGGTGTGTTTATTGTATTGTATTACTATACTGGTGTGTGTGGACAAAGGCTGTGAAACTGTGAGGAGCTTTGGAGGAAATGTTTTTATATCCATGACCTCATACCAGTAATAAAGTTATTAACGTGTTTTGTAATCCAAATTGTTGTTTGTAAAAACAAGGAAGTTCGGCCCTTTGATTTGTTTTTATCACCCTGTCGGAGTAAAAACACCATATCAACCACGTGACCTGACCACATCAACCACGTGACCTGACCACGGCCCTACTAGTGTCCGGTCACGACCAGCATGGGCCCCGGGCCGACAGTTTTACATTTCAGCAGGCCTTAGGGCCTGTAGTTTATTTAAGTAATTATTTTTTGAGCATTATTTAAATAATGTGATAAACATAACTTTCATATTTATAAACAGTAGGATTAGACCTTTCAAATGGTTAGTACATGTAGTCGAAAAGGTGGTTTACAAGCTGATAGTTTCCGGATAAATGTAGGCTTCATCTATCACCACGGACTCTCGGGGATCGGTGTGATAGCAATAAAAGTTTCTGGTTGACTGGTTGTGTTTTGTAATGTATATTGCAAGAGTATGTCTTACTTACTTATATTAGGAGATTTTACGTGCGCTTTCCGACTGGAGCGTATTTCGCACACGGTGGAGTATGTCTCCCTGCCTCAGCTTAAATGTTTGGGCCTACATTTCTTTCGCTGGGCCTACAGTTTTTTAAATGTTCTGGCCCTGAAGGCTCTCAGTTTACTCTGCTGAGTTTCAGACACTGCGTCTAACCTACATTACCAATGTGAGAATGTGTGATTGATATGATAGACACATCCGGTCACACACGTACATGTTTCTAATGGCTTCTGGTTTATTTTATTCACGTGACCAGTACCCCAGAGCTTAACACGAAGAGTCCAGATCCCCATGTCGCACGTGCATGGAAAGGCACATTATCTATGACACACCCTATTCCCGCGCAACTACTTCAGGCAAACAGACACGCCCGATCGGTGGCACCACGTCGCGCGTCAGGCAAAGTCCATGTTGGTATTTCAACACTGATGACGGATATGCCACACGCAGCTCGACACCCATACAGTTAGAATCCATCTGAAATCCTGAGTGATAGTCCAGCCATTTATACCTACAAGTGACCCAACCTGGAACAAATTGCAAAAGAAACGACTGTACGTGTTTTTGAATCAGTAATGTTTATTCTACAAAAAGAATAGATGTGTGCAACTGGTAGAACTTAAAAAAATGTGTCCATGGCAAAACCCTCTGAAAAAGTTAAAATTGTGAAAACGTGGAATAGTTAAGATATAGCAACTCTCCAAAGTTATTTTTTTTTATTGAATCAATCTGAATGTTTGTTCAGTGACACAACACTTCAATGTTGTAACAAGACCTTGATATTTTCCACTGAGATATAAGATCAAGATCAAGGTTAAAGTCAAGGTCAACATCATAAGTTGATGAGTGAGTGTTGGCTTATCCGCATTCAGCAATATTCCAGCTACATCATGGCGGCGTATAAACTGTCTAGTATTGGATATGTATTAAGTATATTCTGGGCACTTCCTCACAGGTTTACACGTCATCAGCCGGGAGAACAAATCAAAAGTGCCTACAAGGACTGTATTCAGAAAAAGTTAATTGTTGTCTTCCAGGAAAATCTCATGCTCCTTCACAGGATCAATTTAAATCAAACTTTGGTCCCTTGGTAATTAGGTCTTTGACGACACTGGAAGGACACGGAGAATTAGACAGACAACTTTCCACTTCCGGCTGACAGATGCCCACGTGACACTATTTGCCTACAACCACTCCATGCCTTGTATCGACGTTTCAGTGTTCCTGCTTCAGCTCCATGGGTCTACTGATCAACGTCGATCCTGCTGTGAGCGGCCGGCATCGTGACAAGGAGGCTGAAAGCCAACACATAGGTGGCGATGAGCAGCCAGTTCATCCACACCGTGCCTGGATAGGAGGCACAGGGGGAGTTAGTGACAGACACAAAGCGAGTTAGTGACAGAAACAGGGCGAGTTAGTGACAGACAAAAAGCGAGTTAGTGACAGAAACAGGGCGAGTTAGTGACAGACACAAAGCGAGTTAGTGACAGAAACAGGGCGTGTTAGTGACAGACACAAAGCGAGTTAGTGACAGACACAGGGCGAGTTAGTGACAGACACAGGGCGAGTTAGTGACAGACACAGGGCGAGTTAGTGACAGACACAGGGCGAGTTAGTGACAGACACAAAGCGAGTTAGTGACAGACACAGGGCGAGTTAATGACAGACACAGGGCGTGTTAGTGACAGACACAAAGCGAGTTAGTGACAGAAACAGGGCGAGTTAGTGACAGACACAAAGCGAGTTAGTGACAGAAACAGGGCGAGTTAGTGACAGACACAAAGCGAATTAGTGACAGAAACAGGGCGTGTTAGTGACAGACACAAATCGAGTTAGTGACAGAAACAGGGCGAGTTAGTGACAGACACAGGGCGAGTTAGTGACAGACACAGGGCGAGTTAGTGACAGACACAGGGCGAGTTAGTGACAGACACAAAGCGAGTTAGTGACAGACACAGGGCGAGTTAATGACAGACACAGGGCGTGTTAGTGACAGACACAAAGCGAGTTAGTGACAGAAACAGGGCGAGTTAGTGACAGACACAAAGCGAGTTAGTGACAGAAACAGGGCGTGTTAGTGACAGACACAAAGCGAGTTAGTGACAGACACAGGGCGAGTTAGTGACAGACACAGGGCGAGTTAGTGACAGACACAGGGCGAGTTAGTGACAGACACAGGGCGAGTTAGTGACAGACACAGGGCGAGTTAGTGACAGACACAAAGCGAGTTAGTGACAGACACAGGGCGAGTTAATGACAGACACAGGGCGTGTTAGTGACAGACACAAAGCGAGTTAGTGACAGAAACAGGGCGAGTTAGTGACAGACACAAAGCGAGTTAGTGACAGAAACAGGGCGAGTTAGTGACAGACACAAAGCGAGTTAGTGACAGAAACAGGGCGTGTTAGTGACAGACACAAATCGAGTTAGTGACAGAAACAGGGCGAGTTAGTGATAGACACAGGGCGAGTTAGTAACAGACACAGGGCGAGTTAGTGACAGACACAGGGCGAGTTAGTGACAGACACAGGGCGAGTTAATGACAGACACAGGGCGTGTTAGTGACAGACACAAAGCGAGTTAGTGACAGACACAGGGCGTGTTAGTGACAGACACAGGGCGTGTTAGTGACAGACACAAAGCGAGTTAGTGACAGACACAGGGCGTGTTAGTGACAGACACAGGGCGTGTTAGTGACAGACACAGGGCGAGTTAGTGACAGACACAGGGCGAGTTAGTGACAGACACGGGGCGAGTTAGTGACAGACACAGTGCGTGTTAGTGACAGAAACAGGGCGAGTTAGTGACAGACACAAAGCGAGTTAGTGACAGAAACAGGGCGAGTTAGTGACAGACACAAAGCGAGTTAGTGACAGACACAAAGCGAGTTAATGACAGACACAGGGCGTGTTAGTGACAGACACAAAGCGAGTTAATGACAGACACAGGGCGTGTTAGTGACAGACACAAAGCGAGTTAGTGACAGACACAGGGCGAGTTAGTGACAGAAACAGGGCGAGTTAGTGACAGACACAGGGCGAGTTAATGACAGACACAGTGCGAGTTAGTGACAGACACAGGGCGAGTTAATGACAGACACAGTGCGAGTTAGTGACAGACACAGGGCGAGTTAGTGACAGACACAGGGCGAGTTAGTGACAGACACAAAGCGAGTTAGTGACAGACACAGGGCGAGTTAGTGACAGAAACAGGGCTAGTTAGTGACAGACACAGGGCGAGTTAATGACAGACACAGTGCGAGTTAGTGACAGACACAGGGCGAGTTAGTGACAGACACAGGGCGAGTTAGTGACAGAAACAGGGCGAGTTAGTGACAGAAACAGGGCGAGTTAGTGACAGACTCAGGGCGAGTTAATGACAGACACAGTGCGAGTTAGTGACAGACACAGGGCGTGTTAGTGACAGACACAGGGCGTGTTAGTGACAGACACAGGGCAAGTTAGTGACAGACACAAAGCGAGTTAGTGACAGACACAAAGCGAGTTAGTGACAGACACAGGGCGAGTTAGTGACAGACACAGGGCGAGTTAGTGACAGACACAGGGCGAGTTAGTGACAGACACAAAGCGAGTTAGTGACAGACACAGGGCGAGTTAGTGACAGAAACAGGGCTAGTTAGTGACAGACACAGGGCGAGTTAATGACAGACACAGGGCGAGTTAGTGACAGACACAGGGCGAGTTAGTGACAGACACAGGGCGAGTTAGTGACAGAAACAGGGCGAGTTAGTGACAGAAACAGGGCGAGTTAGTGACAGACACAGGGCGAGTTAGTGACAGACACAAAGCGAGTTAGTGACAGACACAGGGCGAGTTAATGACAGACACAGGGCGTGTTAGTGACAGACACAAAGCGAGTTAGTGACAGAAACAGGGCGAGTTAGTGACAGACACAAAGCGAGTTAGTGACAGAAACAGGGCGAGTTAGTGACAGACACAAAGCGAATTAGTGACAGAAACAGGGCGTGTTAGTGACAGACACAAATCGAGTTAGTGACAGAAACAGGGCGAGTTAGTGACAGACACAGGGCGAGTTAGTGACAGACACAGGGCGAGTTAGTGACAGACACAGGGCGAGTTAGTGACAGACACAAAGCGAGTTAGTGACAGACACAGGGCGAGTTAATGACAGACACAGGGCGTGTTAGTGACAGACACAAAGCGAGTTAGTGACAGAAACAGGGCGAGTTAGTGACAGACACAAAGCGAGTTAGTGACAGAAACAGGGCGAGTTAGTGACAGACACAAAGCGAATTAGTGACAGAAACAGGGCGTCTTAGTGACAGACACAAATCGAGTTAGTGACAGAAACAGGGCGAGTTAGTGACAGACACAGGGCGAGTTAGTGACAGACACAGGGCAAGTTAGTGACAGACACAAAGCGAGTTAGTGACAGACACAAAGCGAGTTAGTGACAGACACAGGGCGAGTTAGTGACAGACACAGGGCGAGTTAGTGACAGACACAGGGCGAGTTAGTGACAGACACAAAGCGAGTTAGTGACAGACACAGGGCGAGTTAGTGACAGAAACAGGGCTAGTTAGTGACAGACACAGGGCGAGTTAATGACAGACACAGGGCGAGTTAGTGACAGACACAGGGCGAGTTAGTGACAGACACAGGGCGAGTTAGTGACAGAAACAGGGCGAGTTAGTGACAGAAACAGGGCGAGTTAGTGACAGACACAGGGCGAGTTAGTGACAGACACAAAGCGAGTTAGTGACAGACACAGGGCGAGTTAATGACAGACACAGGGCGTGTTAGTGACAGACACAAAGCGAGTTAGTGACAGAAACAGGGCGAGTTAGTGACAGACACAAAGCGAATTAGTGACAGAAACAGGGCGAGTTAGTGACAGACACAAAGCGAATTAGTGACAGAAACAGGGCGTGTTAGTGACAGACACAAATCGAGTTAGTGACAGAAACAGGGCGAGTTAGTGACAGACACAGGGCGAGTTAGTGACAGACACAGGGCGAGTTAGTGACAGACACAGGGCGAGTTAGTGACAGACACAGGGCGAGTTAGTGACAGACACAAAGCGAGTTAGTGACAGACACAGGGCGAGTTAATGACAGACACAGGGCGTGTTAGTGACAGACACAAAGCGAGTTAGTGACAGAAACAGGGCGAGTTAGTGACAGACACAAAGCGAGTAAGTGACAGAAACAGGGCGAGTTAGTGACAGACACAAAGCGAATTAGTGACAGAAACAGGGCGTCTTAGTGACAGACACAAATCGAGTTAGTGACAGAAACAGGGCGAGTTAGTGACAGACACAGGGCGAGTTAGTGACAGACACAGGGCGAGTTAGTGACAGACACAGGGCGAGTTAGTGACAGACACAAAGCGAGTTAGTGACAGACACAGGGCGAGTTAATGACAGACACAGGGCGTGTTAGTGACAGACACAAAGCGAGTTAGTGACAGAAACATGGCGAGTTAGTGACAGACACAAAGCGAGTTAGTGACAGAAACAGGGCGTGTTAGTGACAGACACAAAGCGAGTTAGTGACAGACACAGGGCGAGTTAGTGACAGAGACAGGGCGAGTTAGTGACAGACACAGGGCGAGTTAGTGACAGACACAGGGCGAGTTAGTGACAAACACAGGGCGAGTTAGTGACAGAAACAGGGCGAGTTAGTGACAGACACAAAGCGAGTTAGTGACAGACACAGGGCGAGTTAATGACAGACACAGGGCGTGTTAGTGACAGACAGAAAGCGAGTTAGTGACAGAAACAGGGCGAGTTAGTGACAGACACAAAGCGAGTTAGTGACAGACACAGGGCGAGTTAGTGACAGACACAAAGCGAGTTAGTGACAGAAACAGGGCGTGTTAGTGACAGACACAAATCGAGTTAGTGACAGAAACAGGGCGAGTTAGTGACAGACACAGGGCGAGTTAGTAACAGACACAGGGCGAGTTAGTGACAGACACAGGGCGAGTTAGTGACAGACACAGGGCGAGTTAATGACAGACACAGGGCGTGTTAGTGACAGACACAAAGAGAGTTAGTGACAGACACAGGGCGTGTTAGTGACAGACACAGGGCGTGTTAGTGACAGACACAAAGCGAGTTAGTGACAGACACAGGGCGTGTTAGTGACAGACACAGGGCGTGTTAGTGACAGACACAGGGCGAGTTAGTGACAGACACAGGGCGAGTTAGTGACAGACACGGGGCGAGTTAGTGACAGACACAGTGCGTGTTAGTGACAGAAACAGGGCGAGTTAGTGACAGACACAAAGCGAGTTAGTGACAGAAACAGGGCGAGTTAGTGACAGACACAAAGCGAGTTAGTGACAGACACAAAGCGAGTTAATGACAGACACAGGGCGTGTTAGTGACAGACACAAAGCGAGTTAATGACAGACACAGGGCGTGTTAGTGACAGACACAAAGCGAGTTAGTGACAGAAACAGGGCGAGTTAGTGACAGAAACAGGGCGAGTTAGTGACAGACACAGGGCGAGTTAATGACAGACACAGTGCGAGTTAGTGACAGACACAGGGCGAGTTAATGACAGACACAGTGCGAGTTAGTGACAGACACAGGGCGAGTTAGTGACAGACACAGGGCGAGTTAGTGACAGACACAAAGCGAGTTAGTGACAGACACAGGGCGAGTTAGTGACAGAAACAGGGCTAGTTAGTGACAGACACAGGGCGAGTTAATGACAGACACAGTGCGAGTTAGTGACAGACACAGGGCGAGTTAGTGACAGACACAGGGCGAGTTAGTGACAGAAACAGGGCGAGTTAGTGACAGAAACAGGGCGAGTTAGTGACAGACTCAGGGCGAGTTAATGACAGACACAGTGCGAGTTAGTGACAGACACAGGGCGTGTTAGTGACAGACACAGGGCGTGTTAGTGACAGACACAGGGCAAGTTAGTGACAGACACAAAGCGAGTTAGTGACAGACACAAAGCGAGTTAGTGACAGACACAGGGCGAGTTAGTGACAGACACAGGGCGAGTTAGTGACAGACACAGGGCGAGTTAGTGACAGACACAAAGCGAGTTAGTGACAGACACAGGGCGAGTTAGTGACAGAAACAGGGCTAGTTAGTGACAGACACAGGGCGAGTTAATGACAGACACAGGGCGAGTTAGTGACAGACACAGGGCGAGTTAGTGACAGACACAGGGCGAGTTAGTGACAGAAACAGGGCGAGTTAGTGACAGAAACAGGGCGAGTTAGTGACAGACTCAGGGCGAGTTAATGACAGACACAGTGCGAGTTAGTGACAGACACAGGGTGTGTTAGTGACAGACACAGGGCGTGTTAGTGACAGACACAGGGCAAGTTAGTGACAGACACAGGGCGAGTTAGTGACAGACACAGGGCGAGTTAGTGACAGACACAAAGCGAGTTAGTGACAGACACAAAGCGAGTTAGTGACAGACACAGGGCGAGTTAGTGACAGACACAGGGCGAGTTAGTGACAGACACAGGGCGAGTTAGTGACAGACACAAAGCGAGTTAGTGACAGACACAGGGCGAGTTAGTGACAGACACAGGGCGAGTTAGTGACAGACACAGGGCGTGTTAGTGACAGACACAAAGCGAGTTAGTGACAGACACAGGGCGAGTTAATGACAGACACAGTGCGAGTTAATGACAGACACAGGGCGTGTTAGTGACAGACACAAAGCGAGTTAGTGACAGACACAGGGCGAGTTAGTGACAGACACAGTGCGAGTTAATGACAGACACAGGGCGAGTTAGTGACAGAGACAGGGCGAGTTAGTGACAGACACAAAGCGAGTTAGTGACATACACAGGGCGAGTTAGTGACAGACACAAAGCGAGTTAGTGACAGACACAGGGCGAGTTAGTGACAGACACAGTGCGAGTTAATGACAGACACAGTGCGAGTTAGTGACAGACACAGGGCGAGTTAGTGACAGACACAGGGGGAGTTAGTGACAGACACAGGGCGAGTTAGTGACAGACACAAAGCGAGTTAGTGACAGACACAGTGCGAGTTAATGACAGACACAGGGAGTGTTAGTGAGAGACACAGGGCGAGTTAGTGACAGACACAGGGCGAGTTAGTGACAGACACAGTGCGAGTTAATGACAGACACAGGGCGAGTTAGTGACAGACACAGGGCGAGTTAGTGACAGACACAGTGCGAGTTAATGACAGACACAGGGCGGGTTAGTGACAGACACAGGGCGAGTTAGTGACAGACACAAAGCGAGTTAGTGACAGACACAAAGCGAGTTAGTGACAGACACAGGGCGAGTTAATGACAGACACAGTGCGAGTTAATGACAGACACAGGGCGTGTTAGTGACAGACACAAAGCGAGTTAGTGACAGACACAGGGCGAGTTAGTGACAGACACAGTGCGAGTTAATGACAGACACAGGGCGAGTTAGTGACAGAGACAGGGCGAGTTAGTGACAGACACAAAGCGAGTTAGTGACATACACAGGGCGAGTTAGTGACAGACACAAAGCGAGTTAGTGACAGACACAGGGCGAGTTAGTGACAGACACAGTGCGAGTTAATGACAGACACAGTGCGAGTTAGTGACAGACACAGGGCGAGTTAGTGACAGACACAGGGGGAGTTAGTGACAGACACAGGGCGAGTTAGTGATAGACACAAAGCGAGTTAGTGACAGACACAGTGCGAGTTAATGACAGACACAGGGAGTGTTAGTGAGAGACACAGGGCGAGTTAGTGATAGACACAGGGCGAGTTAGTGACAGACACAGTGCGAGTTAATGACAGACACAGGGCGAGTTAGTGACAGACACAGGGCGAGTTAGTGACAGACACAGTGCGAGTTAATGACAGACACAGGGCGGGTTAGTGACAGAGACAGGGCGAGTTAGTGACAGACACAAAGCGAGTTAGTAACAGACACAAAGCGAGTTAGTGACAGACACAGGGCGAGTTAATGACAGACACAGTGCGAGTTAATGACAGACACAGGGCGTGTTAGTGACAGACACAAAGCGAGTTAGTGACAGACACAGGGCGAGTTAGTGACAGACACAGTGCGAGTTTATGACAGACACAGGGCGAGTTAGTGACAGAGACAGGGCGAGTTAGTGACAGACACAAAGCGAGTTAGTGACATACACAGGGCGAGTTAGTGACAGACACAAAGCGAGTTAGTGACAGACACAGGGCGAGTTAGTGACAGACACAGTGCGAGTTAATGACAGACACAGGGCGAGTTAGTGACAGACACAGGGCGAGTTAGTGACAGACACAGGGCGAGTTAGTGACAGACACAGTGCGAGTTAATGACAGACACAGGGCGTGTTAGTTACAGACACAGGGCGAGTTAGTGACAGACACAGTGCGAGTTAGTGACAGACACAGTCCGAGTTAATAACAGACACAGTGCGAGTTAGTGACAGACACAGGGCGTGTTAGTGACAGACACAGGGCGAGTTAGTGACAGACACAGTGCTAGTTAATGACAGACACAGTGCGAGTTAGTGACAGACACAGGGCGAGTTAGTGACAGACACAGGGCGAGTTAGTGACAGACACAGTGCGAGTTAATGACAGACACAGGGAGTGTTAGTGACAGACACAGGGCGAGTTAGTGACAGACACAGGGCGAGTTAGTGACAGACACAGTGCGAGTTAATGACAGACACAGGGCGTGTTAGTGACAGACACAGGGCGAGTTAGTGACAGACACAGTGCGAGTTAATGACAGACACAGTGCGAGTTAGTGACAGACACAGGGCGAGTTAGTGACAGACACGGGGCGAGTTAGTGACAGACACAGGGCGAGTTAGTGACAGACACAGTGCGTGTTAGTGACAGACACAGGGCGTGTAAGTGACAGACACAGGGCGAGTTAGTGACAGGCACAGGGCGAGTTAGTGACAGACAGAGGGCGAGTTAGTGATAGACACAGGGCGAGTTAATGACAGACACAGTGCGAGTTAGTGACAGACACAGTGCGAGTTAGTGACAGACACAGGGCGAGTTAGTGACAGACACAGGGCGTGTTATAGACAGGCACAGGGCGAGTTAGTGACAGACACAAAGCGAGCAGGTGACAGACACACGGCGAGTTAATGACAGACACAGGGCGTGTTAGTGACAGACACAGGGCGAGCTAGTGACAGACACACGGGGAGTTAGTGGCAGACACAGGGCGAGTTAGTGACAGGCACAGTGCGAGTTAATGACAGACACAGGGCGAGTTAGTGACAGACACAGTGCGAGTTAGTGACAGACACAGGGCGTGATAGTGACAGACACAGTGCGAGTTAGTGACAGACACAGGGCGAGTTAGTGACAGACACAGGGCGAGTTAGTGACAGACACAGTGCGAGTTAGTGACAGACACAGGGCGAGTTAGTGACAGACACAGGGCGTGTTATAGACAGGCACAGGGCGAGTTAGTGACAGACACAAAGCGAGTAGGTGACAGACACACGGCGAGTTAATGACAGACACAGGGCGTGTTAGTGACAGACACAGGGCGAGCTAGTGACAGACACAGGGGGAGTTATTGACAGACACAGGGCGAGTTAGTGACAGACACAGTGCGAGTTAATGACAGACACAGGGCGAGTTAGTGACAGACACAGTGCGAGTTAATGACAGACACAGGGCGTGTTAGTGACAGACACAGTGCGAGTTAGTGACAGACACAGGGCGAGTTAGTGACAGACACAGGGCGAGTTAATGACAGACACAGGGCGAGCTAGTGACAGACACAGGGCGAGTTAGTGACAGACACAGGGCGAGTTAGTGACAGGCACAGGGCGTGTTAGTGACAGACACAGTGCGAGTTAGTGACAGACACAGGGCGAGTTAGTGACAGACACAGTGCGAGTTAGTGACAGACAGAGGGCGTGTTAGTGACAGAGACGTGAGATCCATGTCTATGTTATTGGCAGCTCTAAATGTCAACACTGTATAAAGTTGGACATAGTATTGCCACTGAAGGTTTGTGTGTTCCTCCACGATAGATCAGACTGTACAATGCACTGACCTAACAAATATCTACTCTAAACAGGACACTAACATAACGAGTATCTCATCTATACCGGTCACTGATTTAACGAGTGTCTCATCTTTACCGGACACCAGCATAACGAGTGTCTCATCTATGCCTGACACTGATATAACGGATGTTTCATCTATACCGGGCACTGACAAAACGAGTATCTCACCTATGCCGGGCACTGACAAAATTCCAAGGAAGATGAGCGCTGCTTTATTATTTTGCGTGGTCAGGCACAGATTCGTAATTCCCTCAGCCACAGGGTAGGATGTTTCACAAACCGTCTCGTAGAAAAGCGGTCCGACGCCAGCGTTCGATAAGTCCACAAGCCCATAGGACACATACATGGAGACTGAAACACAGACACAGACACTTTACTTACACTTACACTAACACTTACATTACCTCATCGACACTCGGATGTATGTTAACACGTACATTTCTCCTACATCAGAGATGATAATAAGGGGCGGCGGGGTTGCCTAGCGGTTAAAGCGTTGGCTCGTCACGCCGGAGACCCGGGTTCGATTCCCCACACGGGTACAAAAGCCCATGTCCCGGTGTCCCCCGCGGTGATATTGCTGGAATATTGCTTAAAGCGGCGTAAAACCATTCTCACTCACTCACTTACAATAAGCATGACATTAACTACACAGACATAAGTACATTGACACACACACACTCACACACACACTCACACACACACACACACACACACACACACACACACACACACACACACACACACACACACACACACACACACACACACACACACACACACACACACACACACACACACACACACACGCAGCTGAACAACACATGTATGTGTTACACGCAGTCACTAATACCTACTGTGACACATTGATGGCTACCACAACATACATGCATGCATTAACGCTTATGTTGATATTTCATCACAAAGTGGACACTAAGACATTCATGTACGAGACAACACACACATTGACACATACAGACACATTTAAACAAATAGAGATTTTAACAACTACACAGACATCTAGATTCATATAGAGATCGAAAGAACCATAGAGTGAGTGAGTATGGTTTGCGCCGTTATTAGCAACATATTATCAGTGCGGGGGACGCCAGACATGGGCTTCACACATTGAACCCATGTGGGTTATCGAACCCGAGTCTTCGGCGTGACGAGCGAATGCTGTAACCGCCCAAAATACATACATACATCTAAACACATTCATATATAAATATATATATTTAAACACGTGCATACACCTAAACACGTACAGACACAAAAATAAAACACATCTAGAAACATCCATCTAAATATATAGACAGAAATATAAATACATAGATGGACATCTAAGCACATAAATGGGCGTTCTAAAATGAATGCTATTAGCCCGCCATCATGTCTAGCCCTAGTGTATTCAGCAGAGCATCGTACCTGTTGACTGGGGCAGTGTCCCCACTATCAGAAGCACCAGCCATAGACGGGACACAATGCCCAGGCCGTACTGCACACACAGGAATGTCTTGTGACGGGTCTTAACGTAGTCGGGTCCCCTGGTACCACCATACCATAACTGTGAGTCCTTGTATGTGCATGCATCTGCTCTGGGATGGTGGCACAGTATGGCGGGAATGTACAAGGATGTGTGTACGTATATGGTTGAAGACACTGTGATGCCATAAACACGTAGATCAAGACACATGGGTGAAGGAACATACACGTATCTATGGAAAACGAATATTGTAACTGAAGCGAAGTAAGGAAGGGAATGTATGTAAGTGTATACACCTCATGAAGGAGTAAGTGAATACTCTGATACGTTGTGTTCCACTTACTAAAAAGGTCTTGTGTATCACTTCTAAATGCCATTTAAAGACTTCCAGACCTACCTGGCTACGGTCACTGACACTACAATGGCTCCTGCAGTGGCGTACACTCCCAGATAGCTAGCGTCTTCCTGACATACATAAAAAAGACATACAGGAACCACAATGGCATACAGGAAACAAGACATATAGGAAACACAACAAATCCATGAAACACATACAATGCCTAAAAATCTATGCCTGTAGCAATCCATGCGTTACTCTAAAAAGACAGTTAGTATTACTGATCAGACGCCCAAACCTAGGAAGTGCCTTCAAGTTGACATAAGCTTACCTGACCAGACACAAATACCTTAGCCATTCCATGTGCCTTCAAGTTGACATCAGCTTGGCTGACCAGACACAAATACATGTGATATTCCATGTGCCTTCAAGTTGACATCAGCTTGGCTGACCAGACACAAATACCTGTGATATTCCAAGTGCTTTCAAGTTGACAACAGCTTGGCTGACCAGACACAAATACCTGTGATATTCCACGTGCTTTCAAATTGTCATAAGCTTAGCTGACCAGACACAAATACCTGTGATATTCCGCTCGCTTTCAAGTTGACATCAAGCATAAGAACACCAGACACAAATACTTGTGATATTCCACGTGCCTTCAAGTTGACATCAAGCATAGAACACCAAACATAAATACCTGTGATATTTGAAGTGCTTTCAAGTTGACATCGAGCTGAGCTAACCAGACACAAATACCTGTGCTATTCCATGTGCCTTCAAGTTGACATCAAGCATTGAACACCAGACAACAAATACCTGTGACATTTGAAGTGCTTTCAAGTTGACATCAATCATAGAACAACAAACACAAATACCTGTGATATTCCATTTGCTTTCAAGTTGTCATCGAGCTGAGCTGACCAGCAACAAATAACTGTGATATTCCATGTGCCTTCAAGTTGACATCAAGCATAGAACATCAAACACAAATACCTGTGATATTCCACGTGCTTTCAAGTTGACATCAAGCATAGAACACCAAACACAAATACGTGTGATATTCCACGTACTTTCAAGTTGACATAAGCTTAGCTGACCAGACACAAATACCTGTGCTATTCCATGTGCTTTCAAGTTGACATCAAGCATAGAACACCAAACACAAATACCTGTGATATTTGAAGCGCTTTCAAGTTGACATTGAGCAAAGAACAGCAGACACAAATACCTCTGATATTCCAAGTGCTTTTAAGTTGACATCAGCTTGGCTGACCAGACACAAATACCTGTGATATTCCATGTGCTTTCAAGTTGACATCGGCTTGGTTGACCAGACACAAATACCTGTGATATTCCACGTGCTTTCAAGTTGACATCGAGCTGAGCTGACCAGCAACAAATACCTGTGATATTCCACGTGCTTTCAAGTTGACATCAGCTTGGCTGACCAGACACAAATACCTGTGATATTCCACGTGCTTTCAAGTTGACATCAAGCATGGAACACTGGACACAAATATCTGTGATATTCCACGTACTTTCAAGTTGACATTGAGCATAGAACAGCAGACATAAATACCTGTGATATTCCATGTGCTTTCAAGTTGACATCGAGCATAGATGACCAGGCATTGCGGGTACCCGTCGATACTCCATAGGCTACAGCAATCTGCCAAAATCTCCTATTTCTGGAAACGAAACAGTTTATTTTCTAACATGGCAAATAACTGTATGTGTCTCCATTTCTATACTATATATGTGAAATGTAGAGGTTAAACCCAACTCTATAGCGAATATTTTATTTAGATATAAATAATGCTGGGTCATGATATCTTACGTGACAAGAATCCTGAGCCCCTTTCTGTAGTCGAGTCTCGGTGTAGCTGCCGACGCACGTGGCGGCTTGGGCGGCACGTTTGGAAAATAAACCAACATCACCAGGAACAGCGCTGCACAGACCCCAAAGGCTGAAACATACAGTGTCCACCTGCCATGGTTTGTACATTCAACTTTAGGTCTTGATCTGAAGTATGACAGCAGTGAAATAACTCCATAGCAGTGTTTGAGACACAACAGTGAGTGAGTGAGTATGGTTTTACGCCGCATTTAGCAATATTCCAGCAATGTCACGGCGGGGCGTAGTAATTCACACATTGTACCCATGTGGGGAATCGAACCCGGGTTTTACGACATGACGAGCGAACGCTTTTACCACTAGGCTAGACACGACAGTCTCACAACAGCATCACAACATTATTACACAAGTATTACAACACCACTACTGCATCTATCACGACGACATCATAACAGTATTATAGCATTATCATAGCAGTATTACAACAGCATTACAACACTATCACAAACGTATCAAAACAGCACCACAACACTTTTACAACAGCGTCAAAAGAGTATAACAACAGCATCACAGCATAATCGCATTAGCATCACAACAATATAACAACAGCATCACAACAATGTCCACTATCACAATAGCACCACAGTAGCAGCACAGCAACAAAACATCGGTATTACAACAAAATTACAACCGTGTTACAACATTCTGTCAGGGGTCATACAGATGTATTGCTACATCGCAGTGGTATTACATGGGTTTGACAGTCTTGTCATACCTTAGATATGCAAGTTTTATTTTCTTTCTTTATAAATGAATTAGCAAATTAGACAATAACTGCACAAATGGTTACAATAACCCCCGGATATAGTTTATGAATATTTACAGATGATATTGTGTTGACTTCAAGTACTGTTGGTGGACTGCAGAAACAGATTAGATAACTAGACAATTATTGTGAACAGTGGAAATTAACGGTTAATATAGACAAAACGAAGGTAATGGTGTTTAGGAACGGAGAGAATTATCAAAACATGAAGTATGGTTCTATAAAGGCTGTACTTTACAGACGAGAACTTCCTACACTTATCCCGGAGTGTATTGTACTCATCACCTATCTTTGGCATCACATGTTAAATATGCAGAAATTCAAGCACAAATGGTATTGACAAGAAAAACTATCAGTATTCTTGGAGATATAAACCATACTTCTTTCTTTAGAATATTTGATGTTAAGATAAATCCATTACTTCTATATGGGGCAGAAATCTGGGGATTAATAATTTTGGACACATAGAAAAAGTACACTTATTTGCATATAAGACATTTCTTTGTTTGAAAACAAATACACCTAGCATCATGATATATGGCGAATTAGGTAGATATCCTTTATATATTGCAAAATATATTAAAGATATTAAATACTGGTTAAGTTTAATAGATATGCTGTCCTATCGGAATATAGATGTCCATGTTGAATAAAAACATTTACACAAATATTAACGATGTATAAAAACAAAGTGGTCAGAAATAAAATCTGCATCAAGTAAATGTACTTACAGTGAAAATTTATATTTTTTAAGTTGTGTACAAAACTCTACTTGGTTGGGGTAAATATAAAGAGGAAATTTAGGATAGATGTAGCACGTTTTCGATGTTCCTCGCGTGACTTATTTATTGAAAAAGGAAGAAATATATATGTTATATGAGAACTGAAAAATTGCCAACTGTGCAATCTAATTGCAGTCGAATATGAGAACCACTTCCTCCTTGTTTGTCCAGCTGTGGCATCTAGTATACGCTTGTGGCCTCGTGAATACACAAATATAAGACTTTCACATTTTTTTCAAACAGGATTATCAGCGTGGTGCAAGATCACAGCAACAGCATTTCAGCATTCCCCAGAGAGTTGGAAAACAGTACCAGACAGTATTATCGCAGCATCTAAATACACATCTAAGACATAAAGAATATTTTAAACACTGACATACATCTAAAACACGTATAATAATTTAAACAATGCAGATATCTAAAACATGTAGAAAATGTTAAATACTGCACAAATTTAAAACATGTGGAACATGTTAAATACTGCACACATCTAAAACATGTAGGGTAATTTAAATCATCCACACATCTAAAACATGTGGACCATGTTACATACGGTACACATCTAAAACATGTAGAACATGTTAAATACTGCACACATCTAAAACATGTGGAACATGTTAAATACTGCACACATCTAAAACATGTAGAACCTGTTAAATACTGTACACACCTAAAACATGTAGAACATGTTAAATACTGTACTCATCTAAAACATGTCGAACATGTTAAATACCATACACATCTAAAACATGTGGAACATATCAAATACTGTACACATCTAAAACATGTAGAGTAATTTAAGTCATGCACACATCGAAAACATGTGGAACATGTTAAATACTGTACGCATCTAAAACATGAAGAGGAATTTAAGTCATGCACACATATAAAACATGTAGAACATGTTAAATACTGTACTCATCATAAACATGTCGAACATGTTAAATACTATACATATCTAAAACATATCGAACATGTTAAATACCGTACCCATCTAAAACATGCATAACATGTTAAATGCGATACACATCTAAAACACGTAGAACATGTTAAATACTATACATATCTAAAACATGTAGAACATGTTAAATACTGTACACATATAAAACATGTAGAACATATAAAATACTATAATTATCTAAAATATGTAGAACATGTTAAATACTGTACACATCTAAAACATGTAGAACATGTTAAATACTATACACATCTAATACATGTAGAACATGTAAAATACTATACATATCTAAAACATGTGGAACATGCTAAATACTGTACACATCTAAAACATGTAGAACATGTAAAATACTGTGCACATCTAAAACATCCAGAAGATTTAAAATATTATACACATCTTAAACATGAAGACCATCCTAATAACTGTGCACATCTAAAACATGTGGAACATGCTAAATACTGTGCACATCTAAAACATGTAGAACATGTTAAATACTATGCATATCTAAAACATGTAGAACATGTTAAATACTATACATATCAAAAATATGTAGAACATGTTAAATACTGTACACATCGAAAACATGTAGAACATGTTAAATACTGTACAGATCTAAAACATGTGGAACATTTAAATACTGTACATATCTAAAACATGTCGAAAATGTTAAATACGGTACACATCTAAAACATCTAGAACATGATACATATTGTACACATCTAAAACATGTGGAACATGTTAGATACTATACATATCTAAAACATGTGGAACATGTTAAATACTGTACACATCTAAAACATGTAGAACATGTAAAATAATATACATATCTAAAACATGTAGAACATGTTAAATACTGTACACATCTAAAACATGTGGAACATGTTAAATACTGTAGACATCTAAAACATGTAGAACAGGTTAAATACTTTACATATCTAAAACATGTAGAACATGTTAAATACTGTACACGTCTAAAACATGTGGAACATGTTAAATACTGTACTGATCTAAAACATGTAGAACAGGTTAAATACTTTACATATCTAAAACATGTAGAACATGTTAAATACTGCACACATCTAGAACATGTGCAACATGTTAAATACTGTACACATCTAAAACATGTAGAACATGTTAAATACCGTACACATCTAGAACATGTGGAACATGTTAAATACTGTACACAACTTAAACATGTAGAACATGATGAATTCTGTACTGATCTAAAACTTGTGGAACATGTTAAATACTGTACACATCTAAAACATGTAGAACATGTTAAATACTATACATATCTAAAACATGTAGAACATGTTAAATACTATACACATTTAAAACATGTAGAACATGTTAAATACTGTACACATCTAAAACATGTAGAACATGTTATATACCGTACACATCTAAAACATGTAGAACATGTTAAATACTATACATATCTAAAACATGTGGAACAGTAATTTAAGTCATGCAAACATCTAAAACACCTAGAACATGCTGAATACTGCACACATCTTAAACATGTGGAACATGCCAAATACTGTACACATCTAAAACATGTAGAACATGTAAAATACTGCCCACATATAAAACATGTGGAACATACTAAATACTGTATACATCTAAAACATCTAGAACATGTTAAATACTGCACACATCTAAAACATGTGGAACATGTTAAATACTGTACACATCTAAAACAATCGGAACATGTTAAATACTGTACACATCTAAAACATGTAGAACATGTTAAATACTATACATATCTAAAACATGTAGAACATGTGAAATACTGTACACATCTAAAACAAGTGGAACATGTTAAATACTGTACAAATCAAAAACATGTAGAACATGTTAAATACCGTACACATCTAGAACATGTGGAACATGTTAAATACTGTACACAACTTAAACATGTAGAACATGATAAATACTGTACAGATCTAAAACTTGTGGAACATGTTAAATACTGTACACATCTAAAACATGTAGAACATGTTAAATACTGTACTTATCTAAAACATGTAGAACATGTTAAATACTGTACACATCTAAAACATGTAGAACATGTTAAATACCGTACACATCTAAAACATGTAGAACATGTTAAATACTATACACATCTAAAACATGTAGAGTAATCTAGGTCTTGCACACATCTAAAACATGTGGAACATGTTAAATACTATACATATCTAAAACATGTAGAACATGTTAAATACTGTACACATCTAAAACATGTGGAACATGTGAAATACTATACACATCTAAAACATGTAGAGTAGTTTAAGTCATGCACACATCTAAAACACGTGGAACATGTTAAATACTGTACACTTCTAAAACATGTTGAACATGTTCAATACGGTACACATTAAGTCCAGGGTAATAATGTACTGCCAATCACAACACTAAGTACACGGTAATACTGTCCTGCCACTAACAACACTAAGTCCACGGTAATAATGTACTGCCATTAACAACACTAAGTCCACGGTAATAATTTACTCCAACTAACGACACTAAGTCCACGGTAATAATGTACTCCAACTAACAACACTAAGTACACGGTAATAATGTACTGCCACTAACAGCACTATGTCCACGGTAATAATGTACTGCCACTAACAGCACTATGTCCACGGTAATAATGTACTGCCACTAACAGCACTATGTCCACGGTAATAATGTACTGCCATTAACAACACTAAGTCCACGGTAATAATGTACTCCAACTAACAACACTAACTCCACTGTAATAATGTACTGCCACGAACTACACTGGGTAATAATGTACTGTCACTAACAACACTAAGTCCACGGTAATAATGTACTGCCAATCACAACACTAAGTCCAGGGTAATAATGTACTGCCACTAACAACACTAAATCCACGGTAATAATGTACTGCCACTAACAACACGAAGTGCAAGGTAATAATGTACTGCCACTAACAGCACTATGTCCACGGTAATAATGTACTGCCATTAGCAACACTAACTCCACGGTAATAATGTACTGCCACTAACAGCACTATGTCCAGGGTAATAATGTACTGCCATTAGCAACACTAACTCCACGGTAATAATGTACTGCCACGAACTACACTGGGTAATAATGTACTGCCACTAACAACACGAAGTGCAAGGTAATAATGTACTGCCACTAACAACACTAAGTGCAGGGTAATAATGTACTGCCACTAACAGCACTAAGTACACGGTAATAATGTAGTGCCAATCACAACACTAAGTCCACGGTAATAATGTACTGCCACTAACAACACTAAGTCCACGGTAATAATGTACTGCCAATCACAACACTTAGTCCACGGTAATAATGTACTGCCACTAACAACACTAAATCCACGGTAATAATGTACTGGCACTAACAACACTAAATCCACGGTAACAATGTACTGCCACTAACAGCACTATGTCCACGGTAATAATGTACTGCCATTAACAACACTAAGTCCACGGTAATAATGTACTCCAACTAACAACACTAACTCCACTGTAATAATGTACTGCCACGAACTACACTGGGTAATAATGTACTGCCACTAACAACACTAAGTCCACGGTAATAATGTACTGCCACTAACAGCACTATGTCCAGGGTAATAATGTACTGCCATTAACAACACTAAGTCCACGGTAATAATGTACTCCAACTAACAACACTAACTCCACGGTAATAATGTACTGCCACGAACTACACTGGGTAATAATGTACTGCCACTAACAACACTAAGTCCACGGTAATAATGTACTGTCACTAACAACACGGAGTCCACGGTAATAATGTGCTGCCACTAACAACACTAAATCCACGGTAATAAGGTACTGCCAATAACAACACTAAGTCCACGGTAATAATGTGCTGCCACTAACAACACTAAGTCCACGGTAATAATGTACTGCCACTAATAACACTAAGTGCAGGGTAATAATGTACTGCCACTAACAGCACTATGCCCACGGTAATAATGTACTGCCATTAACAACACTAAGTCCACGGTAATAATGTACTCCAACTAACAACACTAACTCCACTGTAATAATGTACTGCCACGAACTTTACTGGGTAATAATGTACTGCCACTAACAACACTAAGTCCACGGTAATAATGTACTGCCACTAACAGCACTATGTCCACGGTAATAATGTACTGCCATTAACAACACTAAGTCCACGGTAATAATGTACTCCAACTAACAACACTAACTCCACTGTAATAATGTACTGCCACGAACTACACTGGGTAATAATGTACTGCCACTAACAACACTAAGTCCACGGTAATAATGTACTGCCACTAACAGCACTATGTCCACGGTAATAATGTACTGCCATTAACAACACTAAGTCCACGGTAATAATGTACTCCAACTAACAACACTAACTCCACTGTAATAATGTACTGCCACGAACTACACTGGGTAATAATGTACTGCCACGAACTACACTGGGTAATAATGTACTGCCACTAACAACACTAAGTCCACGGTAATAATGTACTGCCACTAATAACACTAAGTGCAGGGTAATAATGTACTGCCACTAACAGCACTATGTCCACGGTAATAATGTACTGCCATTAACAACACTAAGTCCACGGTAATAATGTACTCCAACTAACAACACTAACTCCACTGTAATAATGTACTGCCACGAACTTTACTGGGTAATAATGTACTGCCACTAACAACACTAAGTCCACGGTAATAATGTACTGCCACTAACAGCACTATGTCCACGGTAATAATGTACTGTCATTAACAACACTAAGTCCACGGTAATAATGTACTCCAACTAACAACACTAACTCCACTGTAATAATGTACTGCCACGAACTACACTGGGTAATAATGTACTGCCACTAACAACACTAAGTCCACGGTAATAATGTACTGCCACTAACAGCACTATGTCCACGGTAATAATGTACTGCCATTAACAACACTAAGTCCACGGTAATAATGTACTCCAACTAACAACACTAACTCCACGGTAATAATGTACTGCCACGAACTACACTGGGTAATAATGTACTGCCACTAACAACACTAAGTCCACGGTAATAATGTACTGTCACTAACAACACGGAGTCCACGGTAATAATGTGCTGCCACTAACAACACTAAATCCACGGTAATAAGGTACTGCCAATAACAACACTAAGTCCACGGTAATAATGTGCTGCCACTAACAACACTAAGTCCACGGTAATAATGTACTGCCACTAATAACACTAAGTGCAGGGTAATAATGTACTGCCACTAACAGCACTATGCCCACGGTAATAATGTACTGCCATTAACAACACTAAGTCCACGGTAATAATGTACTCCAACTAACAACACTAACTCCACTGTAATAATGTACTGCCACGAACTTTACTGGGTAATAATGTACTGCCACTAACAACACTAAGTCCACGGTAATAATGTACTGCCACTAACAGCACTATGTCCACGGTAATAATGTACTGCCATTAACAACACTAAGTCCACGGTAATAATGTACTCCAACTAACAACACTAACTCCACTGTAATAATGTACTGCCACGAACTACACTGGGTAATAATGTACTGCCACTAACAACACTAAGTCCACGGTAATAATGTACTGCCACTAACAGCACTATGTCCACGGTAATAATGTACTGCCATTAACAACACTAAGTCCACGGTAATAATGTACTCCAACTAACAACACTAACTCCACTGTAATAATGTACTGCCACGAACTACACTGGGTAATAATGTACTGCCACGAACTACACTGGGTAATAATGTACTGCCACTAACAACACTAAGTCCACGGTAATAATGTACTGCCACTAATAACACTAAGTGCAGGGTAATAATGTACTGCCACTAACAGCACTATGTCCACGGTAATAATGTACTGCCATTAACAACACTAAGTCCACGGTAATAATGTACTCCAACTAACAACACTAACTCCACTGTAATAATGTACTGCCACGAACTTTACTGGGTAATAATGTACTGCCACTAACAACACTAAGTCCACGGTAATAATGTACTGCCACTAACAGCACTATGTCCACGGTAATAATGTACTGTCATTAACAACACTAAGTCCACGGTAATAATGTACTCCAACTAACAACACTAACTCCACTGTAATAATGTACTGCCACGAACTACACTGGGTAATAATGTACTGCCACTAACAACACTAAGTCCACGGTAATAATGTACTGCCACTAACAGCACTATGTCCACGGTAATAATGTACTGCCATTAACAACACTAAGTCCACGGTAATAATGTACTCCAACTAACAACACTAACTCCACTGTAATAATGTACTGCCACGAACTACACTGGGTAATAATGTACTGCCACTAACAACACTAAGTCCACGGTAATAATGTACTGCCAATCACAACACTAAGTCCAGGGTAATAATGTACTGCCACTAACAACACTAAATCCACGGTAATAATGTACTGCCACTAACAACACGAAGTGCAAGGTAATAATGTACTGCCACTAACAACACTAAGTGCAGGGTAATAATGTACTGCCACTAACAGCACTAAGTACACGGTAATAATGTAGTGCCAATCACAACACTAAGTCCACGGTAATAATGTACTGCCACTAACAACACTAAGTCCACGGTAATAATGTACTGCCAATCACAACACTTAGTCCACGGTAATAATGTACTGCCACTAACAACACTAAATCCACGGTAATAATGTACTGGCACTAACAACACTAAATCCACGGTAATAATGTACTGCCACTAACAGCACTAAGTACACGGTAATAATGTACTGCCATTAACAACACTAAATCCACGGTAATAATGTACTGCCACTAACAACACTAAGTCCACGGTAATAATGTACTGCCACTAACAACACTAAGTCCACGGTAATAATGTACTTCCAATCACAACACTAAGTCCACGGTAATAATGTACTGCCACTAACTACACTAAATCCACGGTAATAATGTACTGCCACTAACAACACTAAGTCCAGGGTAATAATGTACTGTCACTAACAACACTGAGTCCACGGTAATAATGTGCTGCCACTCACAACACTAAATCCACGGTAATAAGGTACTGCCAATAACAACACTAAGTCCACGGTAATAATGTGCTGCCACTAACAACACTAAGTCCACGGTAATAATGTACTGCCACTAACAACACTAAGTGCAGGGTAATAATGTACTGCCACTAACAGCACTAAATTCACTTACTTCCGTAATTGTAGTACATGATATTTTGTCTTTGAATTTCTGTGACCTCATCTGGAGAAAAGAGAGTATAGTACTTTTACAGTAGACAGCAGTGAATTGATTGACGCCTTCGTACATTTATCACATCTAAGTTTGTAGTTGCTGTATTCTGGTACATTAAGTTTATTTAAATTACCGTCCCAAAATTGACTACGTTTACTATAAGTTTGGCATCGTTAGTAAACGTCACAATTATAACTTAGTGCTAACATTAAATGTCACACTATTATTAAACCGTCTTATAACACAATCTCTATATAAAATACAGTAATGTAAATACATACCTTCGCATCGTAAAGATGAATTTGTAAAGCTTACATTTCTGAAAATATAGCAGTAATAGATTGATCATTTGAAGGTACACTGAAATGGCAAAGGTTCACTTGGTGGTCACGTCGATAAAATGTACAAACAATACGACCGGGGAATGATGTCCCCCTTGAACGTGAGCTGAAGATCTACGTCACTATGGTTACAGAGTGATTTACAATGACACGTTGTGGGTGTTGTTTAGCGCCGCACTCAATATACCAGCTATATGAAGGCTGCCTGTTACTGACCGTGTCTGGACCAGACAAACCAGCGATTGATAGTATAAGCAATGATAACGGGGCCCGTTGACACGCTGTCAATCAAGTCAACAGGCGAGACCACCCGATCCATTAAGATGCCCCCTAAGACTAGCATAGTTGATTTCCTAAGGGGTCGTGTACAAGCAAAATGACTTTCCTCTGACGTACGACGAGCGTCATGGTGACGCCTGTTACAAGTCCTACCGCCGCGTCGCACCTGGCCTGGGGATATGTACCTTGTGACGTTCGTAAAGGTGCAGTTGTCAGACGTGATCTCGGGTACCACCAGTGGGCCTGAAACAGAAACACCCCACACTGACACTTGGATAGGTTGGGTGGAGACAGACATACCCCACAATGGCACTTGGACAGGATGGGTGGAGCCAGACATACCCCACACTGACACTTGGACAGGATGGGTGGAGAATAACATACTCCACACTGACACTTGGACAGGATGGGTGGAGACAGACATACCACACTCTGACATTTGAACACGATGGGTGGAGACAGGAAAACTCCACACTGACACTTGGACAGGATGGGTGGAGACAGACATGCCCCACACCGACACTTGGACAGGATGGGTGGAGACAGACATACCAAAGACTGACACTTGGACAGGATGGGTGGAGACAGACATACCCCACACTGACACTTGGACACGATGGGTGGAGACAGGAAAACTCCACACTGACACTTGGACAGGATGGGTGGAGACAGACAGGCCCCACACTGACACTTGGACAGGATGGGTGGAGACAGACATACCAAAGACTGACACTTGGACAGGATGGGTGGAGACAGACATACCCCACACTGACACTTGGACAGGATGGGTGGGGACAGACATACCTCACACTGACACTTGGACAGGATGGGTGGGGACAGACATACCCCACGCTGACACTTGGACAGGATGGGTGGCGCCAGACATACCCCACACTGACACTTGAACAGGATGGGTGGAGACAGACATACCCAAGACTGACACTTGGACAGCATGGGTGGAGACAGACATACCACACTCTGACAATTGTACAGGATGGGTGGAGACAGACATACCCTACACTGACACTTGGACAGGATGGTTGGGGACAGACATGCCCCACACTGACACTTGGACAGGATGGGTGGGGACAGATATACCCCACACTGACACTTGGAGAGGATGGGTGGGGCAGACATACTCCACTCTGAGACTTGGACAGGATGGGTGGAGACAGACATACAAAACACTGAGACTTGGACAGGATGCGTGGAGACAGATATGCCCCACAATGACACTTGTACAGGATGGGTGGAAACAGACATACCCTATACTGACACTTGGACAGGATGGGTGGAGACAGAAATACCCCACAGTGACACTTGGACAGGATGGGTGGAGACAGAAATACCCCACAGTGACACTTGGACAGGAAGGGTGGAGACAGCTATACCCGACAGTGACACTTGGACAGGATGGGTGGGGACAGACATGCCCCACACTGACACTTGGAAAGGATGCGTGGGGACAGACATGCCCCACACTGACACTTGGACAGGATGGGTGGGGACAGATATACATCACAGTGACACTTGGACAGGATGGGTGGGGACAAACGTACCCCACACTGACACTTGGATAGGATCGTTGGAGACAGAAATACCCTACACTGACACTTGGACAGGATGGGTGGAGAGAGAAATACCCCACACTGACACTTGGACAGGATGGGTTGAGACAGACATACCCCACACTGACACTTGGACAAGATGGGTGGAGACAGAAATACCCCACAATGACACTTGTACAGGATGGGTGGAAACAGACATGCCCCACAATGACACTTGGACAGGATGGGTAGAAACATACATACCCCACACTGACACTTAGGCAGGATGGGTGGAGACAGAAATAACCCACAATGACACTTGGACAGGATGGGTGGATACAGCAACCCTCACACTGACACTTGGACAGGATGGGTGGAGACAGAAATACCGCACAATGACACTTGGACAGGATGGGTGAAGACAGACATGCCCCACACTGACACTTGGAAAGGATGGGTGGAGACAGACATACCCCACTCTGACACTTTGACAGGATGGGTGGAGACAGACATACCCCACACTGACACTTGGACAGGATGGGTGGGGACAGACATACCCTACAGTGACACTTGGACAGGATGGGTGGAGACAGATATGCCCCACAGTGACACTTGGGCAGGATGGGTGGAGACAGACATACCCTACACTGACACTTGGACAGGATGCGTTGAGACAGATATGCCCCACAATGACACTTGTACAGGATGGGTGGAGACAGACATACCCTACACTGACACTTGGACAGGATGGGTGGAGACAGAAATACCCCACACTGACACTTGGACAGGATGGCTGGAGACAGACATACCCCACACTGACACTTGGACAAGATGGGTGGAGACAGAAATACCCCACAATGACACTTGGACAGGATGGGTGGAGACAGACATGCCCTACAATGACACTTGGACAGGATGGGTGGAAACAGACATACCCCACACTGACACTTGGACAGGATGGGTGGAGACAGAAATAACCCACAATGACACTTGGACAGGATGGGTGGATACAGGACCCTCACACTGACACTTGGACAGGATGGGTGGAGACAGAAATACCGCACAATGACACTTGGACAGGATGGGTGGAGACAGACATGCCCCACACTGACACTTGGAAAGGATGGGTGGAGACAGACAAACCCCAAAGTGACACTTGGACAGGATGGATGGGGACAGACATACCCCACAGTCACACTTGGACAGGATGGGTGGAGACAGATATGCCCCACAGTGACACTTGGGCAGGATGGGTGTCTACAGACATACCCCAAAGTGACACTTGGACAGGATGGGTTTGGATAGACGTACCCCATACTGACACTTGGACAGGATCGGTGGGGACAGACATACCGCAGACTGACTCTTGGACAGGAAGGGTGGAGACAGACATACCACACACTGATACTTGGACAGGATGGGTGGAGACATACATACCACACTCTGACACTTGGACAGGATGGGTGCAGAGAGACATACCCCACACTAACACTTGGACAGGATGGATGGGGACAGATATACCCCACAATGACACTTAGACAGGATGGGTGGAGACGGACATACCCCACACTGACACTTGGACAGGGTGGGTGGAAACAGACATACCCCTTACTGACATTTGGACAGGATGGGTGGAGACAGACATACACACCAATGACACTTGGACAGAATGGCTGGAGATAGATATACCCCCAGACTGAAACTTGGACAGGATGGGTGGGGACAGACATACCCCACTCTGACGCTTGGACAGGATGAGTGGGGAGAGATATACCCCACACTGAAACTTGGACAGGATGGGTGGAGACAGACATACCCGACACTGACACTTGGACAGGATGGGTGGGGACAGACATACCACACACTGACACTTGGACAGGATGGGTGGAGACAGACATACCCCCACACTGTCACTTGGACAGGATGGGTGGGGTCAGATATACCCCACTTTGACACTTTCACAGGATGGGTGGAGACAGACATACCCGAGACTGACACTTGGACAGGATGGGTGGAGACAGACATACCCCACTCTGACACTTGGACAGGATGGGTGGCGACAGACATACCCAACTCTGGCCGTTGGACAGGATGGGTGGAGACAGACACACCTCACTCTGACACTTCGAGAGGATGGGTGGGGACAGATATACCACACACTGACACTTGGACAGGATGGGTGGAGACAGACATACCCCACAATGACACTTGGAGAGGATTGGTGGGGACAGATATACCCCACACTGACACTTGGACAGGATGGGTGGAGACAGACATACCAGACATTGACACTTGGACAGTATGGGTGGGGACAGATATACCCCACACTGAAACTTGGACAGGATGGGTGGGGACAGATTAACCCTACACTGACACTTGGACAGGATGGGTTGGGAGAGACATACCTCACACTGACACTTGCATAGGATGGGTGGAGACAGACATACCCCACACTGACACTTGGACAGGATGGGTGGAAACAGACATACCCCACACTGACACTTGGACAGGATGGGTGGAGACATACATACCCCACACTGACACTTGGACAGGATGGGTGGAAACAGACATACCCCACATTGACACTTGGACAGGATGGGTGGAAACATGAAAACCCCACACTGACACTTGGTCAGGATGGGTGGAGAGAGACATACCTCACAATGACACTTGGACAGGATGGGTGGAGACAGACATACCTCACAATGACACTTGGACAGGATGGGTGGAGACAGACATACCCCACTCTGACACTTGGACAGGATGGGTGGAGACAGACATACCTCACAATGACACTTGGACAGGATGGGTGGGGACAGACATAACCCACACTGACACTTTGTACAGGATGGATGGAGACAGGCATACCCAACACTGACACTTGGACAGGATGGGTGGGGACATATTAACCCCACACTGACACTTGGACAGGATGGGTGGAGACAGACATACCCGAGATTGACACTTGGATAGGATGGGTGGGGACATATTAACCCTAAACTGACACTTGGACAGGATGGGTGGAGACAGACATACCCCACACTGACACTTGGACAGGATGGGTGGGGACATATTAACCCCACACTGACACTTGCACAGGATGGGTGGAGACAGGAAAACCCCACACTGACACTTGTGAGGCTTAAGTCTATTGTCTAGTGTCAGTGCGACATTGGTCTAGTGTGTTATGTGTAGTGAAAGTGAGGCTTCAGTCTAGTCTCTAGTGTCAGTGCGACATCGGTGTAGTGTGTAATGTGTAGTGAAAGTGAGGCTTTAGTCTAGTGTCTAGTGTCAGTGCGACATTGGTGTAGTGTGTAATGTGTAGTGAAAGTGAGGCTTTAGTCGTGTGTTTAGTGTCAGTGCGACATCGGTGTAGTGTGTAATGTGTAGTGAAAGTGAGGCTTCAGTCTAGTGTTTTGTGTCAGTGCAACATTGGTCTAGTGTGTAATGCGTTGTGAAAGTGAGGCTTTAGTCTAGTGTCTAGTGTCAGTGCGACATTGGTCTAGTGTGTTATGTGTAGTGAAAGTGAGGCTCCAGTCTACTGTCTAGTGTCAGAGCGACATCGGTGTAGTGTGTAATGTGTCGTGAAAGTAAGGCTTCAGCCTAGTGTCTAGTGTCAGTGCGACATTGGTGTTGTGTGTAATGTGTAGTGAAAGTGAGGCTTTAGTCTAGTGTCAGTGCGACATTGGTGTTGTGTGTAATGTGTAGTGAAAGTGAGGCTTTAGTCTAGTGTCTAATGTCAGTGCGACATCGGTGTAGTGTGTAATGTGTAGGGAAAATGAGGTTTTAGTCTAATGTCTACTTTCAGTGCAAGATTGGTCTAGTGTGTAAAGTGTAGTGAAAGTGAGGCTTCAATCTAGTGTCTAGTGTCAGTGCCACATTGGTGTAGTGTGTAATGTGTAGTGAAAATGAGGCTTTAGTCTAGTGTCAGTGCGACAATAGTGTAGTGTGTAAAGTGTAGTGAAAGTGAGGCTTTAGTCTTGTGTCTAGTGTCAGTGCAACATTGGTCTAGTGTGTAATGTGTAGTGAAAGTGAGGCTTTAGTCTAGTGTCTAGTGTCTAGGGTCAGTGCGACATTGGTCTAGTGTGTAATGTGCGTCAGTGTGTCAGTGCGACATTCTCACCGATGTAGAAAGCAGCAGTTACACCAAGACCAACGATGACGGCCATGACAGTTGATGCTGTCGTCCTCTCCGCGGCGGGGAACCACACCGACGACACTTTAGGGACGGCCCCCATTGCGATAGGTCCGGCTAACCCGTTCAGAATCTGGCCCAGGTGAACGAGGCTGGAGGGACACAGGGTATCGGAACAGCGAAAAACATCACAGTTTATGAAGGAAACATTGTCGAACAAACTACCATAACTAGCTGTATTTACTGTTCTGCACAGTCACTACACCTGCCACGTTAATATTCCCCCTGAATCAATGACAGTCCGTTCTCAAGGTCAGGTCCTGAGAATAAGAGATCCATGCGCAGCACTGTGACCCTTGCTGACTCCTTCAGCAGGGAAATACAAGCGACAAAAAACCGTCCACAGTTATAAGCAATACCTGCTAACAGTGAACTACTAGTATACGATTCCGACTATACCATAAGATTGTGTTTAGGAATCACTATCAAATAGTGATGATACCAGGTGTTCGCGAAAAGGCTAAATATGCATAACGTCTCGATATTGGCAGTCATGTTCGTCCCGATTGCTGAGCTGTATGTACTGCCTACTAGAGTGGCCTCGTCATGAACATGTCGCTATAACAAGGTGTGTGTTGGACATGGTGCCCTTACGCTGTGAAGAGGGTGGATCCTTGTACAGACACCTGACGCCAGTGCCTAGCGCCACCAGCACCGCGGCTCCAACACAGGATGCACGAAGGCCTGCAACAGCGAAGATGTGGACCTGGAGCTATAGAACGGGTCGGGCCTAGCAGAGGCTGTGATCGCAAATCCGAAACATTGTCAACTCATTGTAGATATGTATATATAATCTGTATTAACTTGTCCATCAACGATTACCACGGATATGTTATATATTCACCGTCAAGTATTATTATGAGGAAGGAATCAAAAACAGTTCTACAGTGTGAGAGATTGCGCTCTTTTCTCCACTGGATATGGTCCATTAAGTACTCACTGATTCTGACTTTATGGTACCATGATACAAAATACTTTATGGTATCCAGACACTAAAGACTCTATGGTATCATGATACTAAAATTAGATCGACAAAGACTCGAAAACGGTGGGTCGATACTGAGAAGAAATGGTCCATAATTGAATGACATATTCAATACCAAGATATGATGGTCGCGAATAAATAGAATTGTCGGCACTAAGATGCGATGGCCGCTACTTAGACGTCAGTATGATGGATGATGACGTAACAATGATGGATGAAAAAGTCACTATGATGGATGGTGACGTCACTGTGAAGGCTGATGACGTCGCTATGGTGCATCATGACGTCCCTATGATGGATGCTGACCTTTGCTGTCCAGCAGCCCGGACCACAGGAGAGCTTTGGGGATGAAGGTGATGGGTCCCCAGTTGGCAAACAAGGCCAGCGTCCCATCCGTCCATCCGTAGGCCTGTTCAGCAGCAGCAGCTATTGGGCCCCACTGTATCCACACGGCGGCCTGGATGGACTCCAGCAGGGAAAACATCAACAGGATATACCAACGCCGCTTGTACACGTGCCTCGGGAACACTGATGACGTCATTTACTACTGATGCCACCCTGACTGATGACGTGTCCATGTCACTGGTTGCCATAGTGATGTCCTGGATTATACAAACTCATGTTGAAACTCTGATTCAATTTGATGAGGAATCAAACAAACAAACTGCAAGAAAGTTATAAAGTAAGAGAATTACCTAAAGGTTTGCGAGATTTTAATGAATTTGGAACACAATAACACAATAAACGAACAGTTTGTATCTAGACGTTTGTTACAGTTTATATCTAGACGTCTGTTACAGTTTATATCTAGGCGTCTGTTACATTTTATATCTAGGCGTCTATTACGGTTTATATCTAGACGTCTGTTTGGGTTTACATCTAGACGTCTGTTATAGGTTATATCTAGACGTCTGTTATAGGTTAAATCTAGACGTCTGTTACAGTTTATATCTAGACGTCTGTTATAAGTTATATCTAGGCGTCTGTTTCAGTTTATATCTAGACGTATGTTACAGTTAATATCTAGACGTCTGTGACAGTTTATATCTAGACGTCTGTTACAGTTTATATCTAGACGTCTGTTATAGTTTATATCTAGACGTCTGTTATAGTTTATCCCTTGAGGTTTCTTACAGTTTATACCTCGAGGTCTGTTATAGTTTATATCTTGACCTCTATAACAGTTTATATCTAAACCTCTGTTACAGTTTATATCTAGACGTCTGTTTCAGTTGATAACTATACGTCTGTTATAGTTTATATCTAGACGTCTGTTATAGTTTATATCTAGACGTCTGTTGTAGTTTATATCTAAACCTCGCAAGCACCTGAGAACCTCTGTGCTCTACAATAAGAAAGGCACTACAGCTGTTTACCCTTCACTACTGGTACACAGTAACCCATGCCAGTCGAAAGAGACTAAATGAACCCAGGGGTCAGTCTCGGTGACCTGAGTGATTGCACGCAAGGAACACGCAAGGAACACGCTAGACAATTGGGCTGGGTCACCAGGAACATACAAGGAACACGCCAGATATTGGGGCCGGGTTACCAGGAACACATCAGAAACACGCCAGACATTGGGGGTCAGGTTAACAGGGTTATCAGGAACACGTCAGACAATGGGGTCGGGTTACCAGGAACACATCAGAAACACGCCAGACATTGGGGGTCAGGTTAACAGGGTTATCAGGAACACGTCAGACAATGGGGTCGGGTTACCAGGAACACATCAGGAACATGCCAGACAATGGGGTCGGGTTACCAGGAACACGCAAGGAACACACAAGGAAAACACAAGGAACACACCAGGAACACGCTAGACAATTGGGCCGGGTCACCAGGAACACACGAGGAACACGCCAGATATTGGGGCCGGGTTACCAGGAACACATCAGGAACACACCAGACAATGGGGGTCAGGTTAACAGGGTTATCAGGAACACGTCAGACAATGGGGTCGGGTTACCAGGAACACGCAAGGAACACACAAGGAAAACACCAGGAACACGCTAGACAATTGGGCCGGGTTACCAGGAACACACGAGGAACACGCCAGATATTGGGGCCGGGTTACCAGGAACACATCAGGAACATGCCAGACAATGGGGGTCAGGTTAACAGGGTTATCAGGAACACGTCAGACAATGGGGTCGGGTTACCAGGAACACGCAAGGAACACACAAGGAAAACACAAGGAACACACCAGGAACACGCTAGACAATTGGGCCGGGTCACCAGGAACACACGAGGAACACGCCAGATATTGGGGCCGGGTTACCAGGAACACATCAGGAACACGCCAGACAATTGGGTCAGGTTAACAGGGTTATCAGGAACACGTCAGACAATGGGGTCGGGTTACCAGGAACACGCAAGGAACACACAAGGAAAACACAAGGAACACACCAGGAACTCACCAGGAACACACGAGGAACACGCCAGATATTGGGGCCGGGTTACCAGGAACACATCAGGAACACGCCAGACAATGGGGGTCAGGTTAACAGGGTTATCAGGAACACGTCAGACAATGGGGTCGGGTTACCAGGAACACGCAAGGAACACACAAGGAAAACACAAGGAACACACAAGGAAAACACAAGGAACACACCAGGAACACGCTAGACAATTGGGCCCGGTCACCCGGAACACACGAGGAACACGCCAGATATTGGGGCCGGGCGACCAGGAACACGCCAGACAATGGGGGTCAGGTTACCAGGAACACGCCAGACATTGGGGTCAGGTTACCAGGAACACGCCAGACATTGGGGCCAGGTTACCAGGAACACGCCAGACAATGAGGGTCAGGTTAACAGGGTTATCAGGAACACAACAGACAATGGGGGTCAGGTTAACAAGGTTATCAGGAACACAACAGACAATGGGGTCGGGTTACCAGGAACACCCAAGGAACACACCAGGAACACATCAGACATTTGGGCACGCCAGACATTGGGGCCAGGTTACCAGGAACACGCCAGACAATGAGGGTCAGGTTAACAGGGTTATCAGGAACACAACAGACAATGGGGGTCAGGTTAACAAGGTTATCAGGAACACAACAGACAATGGGGTCGGGTTACCAGGAACACCCAAGGAACACACCAGGAACACGCCAGACATTGGGGCCGGATCACCAGGAACACACCAGGAACACGCCAGACATTGGGGCCGGATCACCAGGAACACACCAGGAACACGCCAGACATTGGGGCCGGATCACCAGGAACACACCAGGAACACATCAGACATTGGGGCCAGGTTGACAGGGCTATCAGGAACACGCCAGACATTGGGGCCGGATCACCAGGAACACACCAGGAACACGCCAGACATTGGGGCCGGATCACCAGGAACACACCAGGAACACGCCAGACATGGGGGCTGGGTTACCAGGAACACTCAAGTCAGTTGTAGTTGGAAATAATCTAGGGCCCGAGGCCAGGTCATCAGAACACACAGGCTCAGGTCGTAAAATAGGATGGTAGTTGGGTAGAGCTTATCATATCATAAGTAAACACATACAGATGTTGCCCCTGACAGCCAGTGGAAAAAACGTACCAATGCAGGGATGCATAACTCCGTAGTTTGTGAACTTCGGAGAGGTAAAACAAAGATATACCCAACAACAGCGTAGAATAACGTCTGGATGAGGCTGTGCATAGCTGCTAGTGACAGTAACACGGTGTATCCATCTCAAGTGTTGGACATGATGCAAAGAGAAAAGCGTCTGTGTTTGAGCATGAGATACAATAGGTGAGATACGCTCAATACCACCCAGTTGCTTCTGCACACCGTGGGATGGATCACAAGGTTATGTTTCTGTAGTTAATACAAACAGCCTTCACAGTCTGGACTGTAAATTCACACGAACTTCCATCATATTTGTTCCTCAGTCAAGTATGACGGAATCAGTTGTCACAGACACTAATGAACTGCCCCGTAGTACAGATGACAATGTCACCAGTGACCCCAATGAACAAAAGGTGAAAGAAATAATTCAACTGGAGAAAGGTGATAAAGAGAGTGTATGGCCTCAGTCTGGGAGAAGGAGGTCGTCAGTAACATTTGACGAGAACGTCACACAGATTCGCTTTGAGAGGGTGGAGCAGTTGGACCTGCATGTGTATAGACGGCGGTGGGTGGTCCTGGCCCTCTTCTCCCTGTTCAGTTGCCTCCAGGCCGCAGTGTGGAACCAGTGGGGCCCAATAGCGGCAGTGAGTGAACGTGTGTTCGGCTGGACAGATGGAACTATTGCACTGTTTGTCAACTGGGGTCCTATTGCCTACATCCTCACAGCGCCGCTCTGGTCATGGATACTGGATACCAAAGGTGAGTGAGTGAGTATGGTTTTACGCCGCTTTTAGCAATATTCCAGCAATATCACGGCGGGGGGACACCAGAAATGGGCTTCACATATTGTACCCCTGTCGGGAATGGAACCCAGGTCTTCGGCGTGATGAGCGAACGCTTTAACCACTAGGCTACCCGACCGCCCAAACACCAAAGGTACATTGCTCAAACATGACAATATATTTTTAAACATAGAAACGTGTTACATATTGTGCCAGTAGTCCTGTTTAATCTCAAAAGTTTCACATGTTCTCCCCATGTGTTCCGCCATGTGTTCCGCCATGTGTTCCGATCTGCATGTGGCCGACGTATCATATTTATTCATGCGAAGCAGGACATAGGCCACATGCATGTGACGGGGAGACATGTTGTCATCAGTTATACCAGGGGGGTTCAATAAGTTTTGCAACTTGGGCATTTGTCTTTACACAAACAATGTCAATTTGGGGCAGGTGTGACACTAGTCATAACATTAGGTTGACACGTGTCCTAACAAGTTCCAGACACAACAATAAGTTAGATGTGATGGCTTCATTCACCTAAGGGTGGTCACAATCATGGATTCTCTCAAACAAGAACAACGCGCTGTAATAAAGTTCCTTACCAAGGAGGGATGCAAAGCAAAAGAAATCCATGATCGCATGTGTAAAGTGGTGGGTAAGGATGCTCCTAACTATTCCACAGTTTGTCGTTGGTCTCTACAGTTTGAAAGGGGTTGAGAGTCCACAGACGATGACCCAAGGTCAGGCAGGCCTTCAGACGCCACCCAACCGGATTGCTGCTATAGAAAGAAGAATTTTGTCTGACCGATGAGTGAAAGTATCTGAACTTTCTAGGGATCCACCATGAGAACACAGAAACTAAATTGGAATCCATGCAATGGAAGCACCCCAATTCTCCGCCTCCGAGGAAGTTTCGCACTCAACCATCGGTTGGCAAAGGTAATGGCCACCATATCTTGGGGTGCAAGAGATATATTACTGATTGATTACATGCCACCAAAAACTACAACCAATGGACAGTATTATGCTAATGTAATGAAAGAATTGCGAAAATCTATTCGCAAGAAACGCCGTGGGATGTTAACACGTGGTATTCTACTCTTGCATGATAACGCTCCGGTTTGAGAATTGCACAAGCTGCCATATGTGAATGTGGATTCGAACAGTTAAATCACCCACCCTACAGCCCAGACTTAGCCCCCAGAGACTATTTCCTGTTCAAGCAAATGAAATCTGCCCTACGTGGAAGACGCCTCCAGGATGACGAGGACATAAAGGCTGCCACAGAGGCGTGGTTAGAGGGCCAATCTGCGGATTTCTATAAAAGTGGTATTAAAAGCTTAAAGGACAAATGGAATAAGTGTATTGAGGTGAATGGAAATTATACTGAAAAATAAAAGTGCAAAAGATATTCTGCAATTTGGTCTTATATTGAAGTTGCAAAACTTATTGAACGCCACTCGTATCAGTCGTCAGTTTGCGTGTTGGCCAGAGCTCCAGTGACTGTTCCAGGGTTGAGGCTGTCGTGTCTGGTTGCTATGGCGCTGATAGCTGTAGGGTCCGGTCTCCGCTGTCTGGTACGAACACCCCCGGCCTACACATGGTAAGCAACACTTTCGCGTGTATGCCATTGTTCCTTGTTTCACCTTCTACACTGGTGAGAATCCACACCATTGTTCCTTGTCTCACCTCCAACAAAGGTCACCGCTGTTCCTTGTCGCACCTTCAACACACGTCACCGCTGTGCCTTGTCGCACCTTCAACACACGTCACCACAGTTCCTTGTCGCACCTTCAACACACGTCACCACAGTTCCTTGTCTCACCTCCAACACCAGCCTCCACACCATTGTTCCTGGTCTCACCTTCAACAAACTTCACCACTGTTCCTTGATTCACCTTCAACACTAGACGCAACACCACTGTTCCCTGTAACACCTTCAACACACGTCACCACTGTTCCTTGTCTCACCTTTAACACCAAACTCGACACCACTGTTCCTTGTCTCACCTCCAACACAAGATTCCATACCGTAGTTCCTTGTCTCACCTTCAACATCAGACTCCACATCATTGTTCCTTGTCTCACCTTCAACAAACTTCACCACTGTTCCTTGATTCACCTTCAACGACAGACGCAACACCACTGTTCCCTGTAACACCTTCAACACACGTCACAACTGTTCCTTGTCTCATCTTCAACAACAGATTCCACACCATTGTCCCTTGTCTCACCTTCAACATCAGACTCCACATCATTGTTCCTTGTCTCAACTTCAACATCAGACTCCACACCATTTTCCTTGTCTAATCTTCAACAACAGATTCCATACCATTGTCCCTTGTCTCACCTTCAACATCAGACTCCACACCATTGTTCCTGGTCTCAACTTCAACACCAGACACAACACCACAGTTCCTTGTCTCATCTTGAAGATCTGATTCCATACCATTGTTCCCTGTCTCACCTTCAACACACTTCCTCATTGTTTCTTGTCTTACCTTCAACACACTTCACCATTGTCCCTTGTCGCATCTTCAACATCAGACACCACACCACAGTTCCTTGTCTCACCTTCAACATCAGACTCCACACCATTGTACCTGGTCTCACCTTCAACACACTTCACCATTGTTCCTTGTCGCACCTTCAACATCAGACACCACACCACAGTTCCTTGTCTCACCTTCAACATCAGACTCCACACCATTGTTCCTGGTCTCACCTTCAACACACTTCACCACTGTTCCTTGTTTCTCCTTCAACACACTTCACCAATGTTCCTTGTCTCCCCTTCAACACACTTCACCACTGTTCCTTGTCTCACCTTCAACACACTTCACCACTGTTCCTTGTCTCCCCTTCAACACACTTCAACACTGTTCCTTGATTCACCTTCAACACACTTCACCACTGTTCCTTGTCTCCCCTTCAACACACTTCACCACTGTTCCTTGTCTCACCTTCAACAAACTTCAACACTGTTCCTTGATTCACCTTCAACACCAGACGCAACTCCACTGTTCCCTGTAACACCTTCAACACCAACACCACTGTTCCTTGTCTCACCTTTAACACCAAACTCGACAACACTGTACCTTGTCTCACCTTCAACACAAAATTCCATACCATTGTTCCTGGTCTCACCTTCAACACCAGACGCCACACCATTGTTCCTGGTCTCACCTTCAACACACTTCACCATTGTCCCTTGTCTCACCTTCAACACAAGATTCCATACCATAGTTCCTTGTCTCACCTTCAACACCAGACACCACACCACAGTTCCTTGTCTCATCTTCAACAACAGACTCCACACCATTGTTCCTTGTCTCACCTTCAACAAAAAAAATTCCATACCATTGTTCCTGGTCTCACCTTCAACACCAGACGCCACACCATTGTTCCTGGTCTCACCTTCAACAACAGATTCCACACCATTGTCCCTTGTCTCACCTTCAACGCAAGATTCCATACCATAGTTCCTTGTCTCACCTTCAACACCAGACACCACACCACAGTTCCTTGTCTCATCTTCAACAACAGATTCCACACCATTGTCCCTTGTCTCACCTTCAACATCAGACTCCACACCATTGTCCCTTGTCTCACCTTCAACATCAGACTCCAAACCATTGTCCCTTGTCTCACCTTCAACATCAGACTCCACACCATTGTCCCTTGTCTCACCTTCAACATCAGACTCCACACCATTGTTCCTTGTCTCATCTTCAACAACAGATTCCATACCATTGTCCCTTGTCTAACCTTCAACACCAGACACCACACCACAGTTCTTGTCTCATCTTCAACAACAGATTCCACACCATTGTCCCTTGTCTCACCTTCATCATCAGACTCCACACCATTGTTCCTTGTCTCAACTTCAACATCAGACTCCACACCATTGTTCCTTGTCTCATCTTCAACAACAGATTCCACACCATTGTTCCTTGTCTCACCTTCAACATCAGACTCCAAACCATTGTCCCTTGTCTCACCTTCAACATCAGACTCCACACCATTGTCCCTTGTCTCACCTTCAACATCAGACTCCACACCATTGTTCCTTGTCTCATCTTCAACAACAGATTCCATACCATTGTCCCTTGTCTAACCTTCAACACCAGACACCACACCACAGTTCTTGTCTCATCTTCAACAACAGATTCCACACCATTGTCCCTTGTCTCACCTTCATCATCAGACTCCACACCATTGTTCCTTGTCTCAACTTCAACATCAGACTCCACACCATTGTTCCTTGTCTCATCTTCAACAACAGATTCCATACCATTGTTCCTGGTCTCACCTTCAACACCAGACACAACACCACAGTTCCTCGTCTCATCTTGAAGATCTGATTCCATACCATTGTTCCCTGTCTCACCTTCAACACACTTCCTCATTGTTTCTTGTCTTACCTTCAACACACTTCACCATTGTCCCTTGTCGCATCTTCAACATCAGACACCACACCACAGTTCCTTGTCTCACCTTCAACATCAGACACCACACAAGAGTTCCTTGTCGCACCTTCAACATCAGACACCACACCACAGTTCCTTGTCACACCTTCAACATCAGACACCACACAACAGCTCCTTGTCTCACCTTCAACATCAGACACCACACCACAGTTCCTTGTCGCACCTTCAACATCAGACTCCACACCATTGTTCCTTGTTTCACCTTCAACACCAGACTCCACACAACAGGTCCTTGTCTCAATTTCAACACCAGATTCCACACCATTGTTCCTGGTCTCACCTTCAACATCAGACTCCACACCATTCTTCCTGGTCTCAACTTCAACACACTTCACCACATTTCCCTGTCTCAACTTCAACACCAAATTCCATACCATTGTTCCTGGTCTCACCTTCAACACACTTCACCACAGTTCCTTGTCTCACTTTCAATGCCAGATTCCACACCATTGTTTCTTGTCTCACCTTCAACACCAGATTCCATACCATTGTTCCTTGTCTCACCTTGAACACACTTCACCATTGTTCCTTGTCTCACTTTCAATGCCAGATTCCACACCATTGTTTCTTGTCTCACCTTCAACACCAGATTCCATACCATTGTTCCTGGTCTCACCTTCAACACACTTCACCACAGTTCCTTGTCTCACTTTCAATGCCAGATTCCACACCATTGTTTCTTGTCTCACCTTCAACACCAGATTCCATACCATTGTTCCTTGTCTCACCTTGAACACACTTCACCATTGTTCCTTGTCTCATCTTCAACACCCTTCACATCACCACATCACCACAGAATGTATCCATGGTTACCAACACCAACCACTGCACAAACTTTCTTTACGTGTTTGCTGTTATACTCTATACTAAATCCAACTTACCATCCATGCGACCTTTCTGTACACTCACTATCCTTCTGTACTCACTATCCTTTTGCACACTCACTATCCTGTACTCCCACTATCTTTTTGTATACTCAATGTCCTTCTATACACTCACATCCCTTCTGTACACTCACTATCCTGTACTCCCACTATCCTTCTATATACGCACTGTCCTTCTGTACACTCACTATTCTTCTGCTCTTTCACTATCCGTCTTTACACTCACTATCCTTCTGTCCACTCACTATCCTTCTGTACTTTCACTATCCTTCTGTACACTCACTATCCTTCTGTACACTCACTATCCCTCTCCACTATCACTATCCTTTTGTATACTCACTACCCTTCTGTACACTCACTATCCTACTGTACTTCAACTATCCTTCTGTACACTCACTATCCTGTACTCCCACTATCCTTCTTTATACTCACTGTCCTTCTGTACACTGACTATCCTTCTGTCCACTCACTATTCTTTTGCACTTTTACTATCCGTCTTTACACTCACTATCCTTCTGTACACTCACTACCCTTATGTACACTCACTATCCTTCTGTACACTCACTACCCTTATGTACACTCACTATCCTACTGTACACTCACTATCCCTCTGCACACCCATTATCCTTCTGTACACTCACTATCCTTTTGTACACTCACTATCCTTCTGCACAATCACTACCCTTCTGTACTCACTATCCTTCTGCCCACGCACTATCCTTCTGTACCAACTAACAACTGCTGCTGTTATTCCACAAATCTCAATCTCCCATCAATTCAGGGTTGCTAACGGCGGGCAACTGTTAAATGGGGCTGCTGGCCCGGTTGCTATGGGTGGCATTGCCAAGTTGTCCTCCGTTTGGTTCCCACCCGAGGAAAGAGCCACAGCGACTGCCATTGGTTATGTCATTCAAGGCTTGGGCATCGGACTAACGTTTGTGATCGGTATGTACTCGCTTTGTAACAACCTTGTTTCACACATGATAAGATCCTCATCTCGTTTTCGGGGCAGTCGGGTAGCCTAGTGGTTAAAGTGTTTGCTCGTCATGCCAAAGACCCGGGTTCATTCCCGACATGGGTATAATGTGTGAGGCCCATTTCTGGTGTCCCCCACCGTGATATTGCTGAAATATTGCTAAAAGCGGCGTAAAATCAAACTCACTCACTCACTCACTCACTCTTTCAAACTTTCGGCAACCTTTTGAGTTGCAATAGGGTCATGTCTTTCCACTGCCAAATTGTTATGTGTTCATAACTTTGGTATGAGGTAGTAGTATAAGTATTTGGGATTCTGGAACACTTCCACTGGAGCCAGATTTATACCCCTATACTGCTACTACAGAGGGCATTTTTTTATGTGAAAATGATGATGCGCACAAATAATCGTCATGAGACTAAGCTAAATTGTAAAGAAAAGGGCTCTCGCTCACCACTACCTGAACCATTTTCGAACACTATCAATGCTTCTATGATATAATTTTTTATAGACAATGACAGTTCTGGCTCACTTCCACTGGAGCCAGATTTGTATACCTATACTGCTACTACAGAGGGATTTTTTTATTTAAAAAAGATGATGCGATTCAACAATTGTCATGAGACTAAACTAAATTGTAATGAAAATATTCTCCATTACTTTTAATCATACACACACCATTATTTTGAACAATGTGATATTCAACATTTTTACTAAGTTCTTCGTTCATTTTACTAGGAGACCAGACGTATACACATTCTCGAAATTGGAAAGAAACAATTAATGACCCTATTTGGTTGGTTTGCCATCACTGATATAATATATACCCTGTGGTAATTCTCCATTATTATAAACTTATGTAAGCATTCGTTTAAATGTGATCAAACAATCTATTTTTAATCTCCAACCAGTTCTTTGGTTTTGGCACAGAATAACTGATGCTTTTGTTGTCTCCCCTGTTCTATAAACTTTTAATACCACTGGTCTTACGAGAATTTGATCAAATCTCCTGCTTCATTACGTTGTATTTGGTGAGTTCTGACAACACTAAACAAAACTCCTCCTCAGATATCTTACAATCAGCCAGTGCTGTTGAAATATGATCCTTAATGCTGTTCAACTTTGCTTCGGCGAGTATCTGAATATTATCATGTTTTAATGCTTTCTTTTGCAACTTATGAGAAATAAATTTTATCGCTATTCCTGCCAGTCCTTAGACTCTGGCTGCTACCTCCATGCCAAGTACGATAGGTGCGGCGATTATAGTTGATAATAAACCAACACCGGCTACACCGAGTCCCGTGCTAGCCGTTACAAGCGCAGTGTCAACTCTGTCGAGAGCATTCACGGCTCTGCGATACTTTTTATACAATCCAAGTCTCAACTCCCTCTTCTTCTCTATTCAATGTTTTATGTCGCTTATTTGATGTAATCGAAATCCATCAACAGTATCCATCTTTTCAGATGCTTCATTGAGCACCGGATATAAACCCATAATGTATGGTATTATATCATAAAATAGTCTTTAATTGGTCTTGCTTAAATGTTTTGAGAGTATACACCAACCTTATTAAATGTATATTATACGGCATAAATATCTTAGTAAGAGAAATGCTTTCACCTTTATTAACTTGGACCCCCTCAAGGGTTGCAATGGGTGATACTCCCATATAAATAATACTACAACGTTGACCCTCGTGTTTCTTAAGCCATTTAATTGATAAACCTGGTAATATTTCGAAGTCATCTTCTGGTGCATCTCCAAACAAGACTTCAATAATAAGTGTAGAAAGATCAGGTACAGCATTCAAGCTGTTTTTTATATCCTTGAATTCAGTAACCAAATTCAAAGTGACCATTTTTAATGATGGACGACTAAATAACAGATGACCTGGGTTTTCTGGCAGGGGAGCGACTAACACACTCTTTCGTTTTGAGGGGATATAAACCCCGAGTGCGATCCCACTATTTATTATCTTAGTTAAATGATGTCCCTTACCCGTCATCACATATGGTGGGGCAATGACGATATTAAGAAGCAACTCGATTTTTTCTTCGACCATAGTCCATTCATTATCATCGCTGCGTGTAAGATTGTATGAAGTGTTTTTATTGAGTCTACTAACGTCGACATCACTTAAATCTCCTAGATTAGCTGTGAATACAACTTCTTTCCGCTTGTATACATTATCTTGTAAGTGTAAAGCAAATAACTTGCCATCAGTACCGGTTTTACCGAATCCTTCTGTGTCTCCGAGATCGGAAAGCGCAATTGTATTACATTGTCTAAGGTTATACGTTTCAGGGCCTGATGAATCAACCATTATTAATAATGTGGAGTGTTACACTCAAGTATCTTATATGTACAGGTTGATGTTTTACATCTAATACAGAAATTTTGAGGTCTGAAATAATACCTCGCTTTAATTTTTTATATTTTAATGATGAGAAAGATTCTGTTCTACCGCTATTATATTTTTCATCTTTGACTGGAATAGCTCTTAGCAGAGTTGATGGACTTTCGAGTTGAATATTATCCGTTGTACTGATCTGATCAAGATGGATGCACAACTCTTTTTAGGGAAATAAATCGGGTAATTTAATTCCATGTAATGTTCTGTTGGGAAATAAACTGACGTCCAAAAGAAACTTTACCAGAGTTTGAAATCACACTTGCTCAAAAACAACAAAACATACATGCATGAAGTAAAGTGTATTGAGAAGATCAATATATCAACATAATCACTGAAAATGACAATCATACCGCGACCGAGAATGACGTCAGAGTTGGGTGTGGTACAAAAAACGAGCTTTCAAAATCATTGACAATAGGCAGAGTACATAAACAATTGCTCACGTTCAATTACAAGTCATTAGTAGCGTGTGTGACCACCAAATGCCTCAATACACGCAAAAACCCTTCGACGCACAGAAAAAGTCAGTCGTCTGATGAGGTCACGTGGGTTTTGATGCCATTCTTCTTGGAGGGCCAAGATCAGTTCTTGCCGGTTGGCTGGATAGTGTGGTCGTTGTCGAACACGACCATCCATGAAGTCCCAGAGGTGTTCTATGTGGGACATGTCGGGTGAGCGTGCAGGCCACGGCAGGTCGTTGACGTTGTTGGCTGCGAGGAAGTAAGTGACAATTCTGGCTGTATGGGCTCTAGCGTTGTTATGCTGATAAATGACACCACGTGGCTGCTGTTTGAGAAATGGTGGGACAACTGGACGAAGAATGTTATCCATGTAACGCTGAGCTGTCAAGTTTCCATCAACGATGACCAGCGGTGTCCTCTCCTGCCCACAGATCCCTCCCCACACCATGACACTCCCTCCACCATATGGTACGACCTCCTGCACGCAACACGCTGCCGTTCGTTCACCCCTTCGTGGGTAAACACGTTGTCTTCCATCAGCCCTAAACATATAGAATCGACTTTCGTCAGTGAAGACAACCCTCTGCCAGTCACGTCGTTGCTAACGTCGTACAGTCCGGGCCCATCACAATAGCAGACGATGATGTTGCGCTGTAAATAGCTGTCCTCTGTATGGTCTAAAAGCCCTGATTCCATGAGTCTCCTGGCCACTGTCTGTCGACTAACCCTGTGACCTAAGGCATTTGTCGCAGATGACGTCACTGTCAGGAAGCGATTTCAGAGGTGCAAGGTACGCAAGTACCGGTCATCATTGGGCGTGGTCACCCTGGGTCTGCCTGTTCTTGGCCTGTCAGCGGTTCGCCCTGTCTGTCTGTAATGTTGCATCAAGTTGGTAACGGCAACATGGGAGTAACCTAATTTAAGGTTCGTGCAATATGGGCATGGGTGGCTCCCATCTGTACCATACCCAAGGCTTGTTCACGTTGTTCGACTGTGAGTCGTGGCATTTCTTTTGTGTTTTTTTATCACTGTGGATGTCTGACTTGCTGTTGCAATCGTTTTATACCCTTACCCGCATGTGCATTTGCAGTTGTCCGTGGTGCACGTGTTTTTCACTTTTCGCAAACATGTAACAGACGATTAACATTCTCTGCATACACTATTGTTGTATTCAGTTGGTAAAGATTCTTTTGGACGTCAGTTTATATATTTAATCAGTAATCCAAGTGTATCTGCTAAGTTGTAAATATTTACATGCTTTTCTCCAGCGCTTAAAATCAGCATCTCATTTGACACAATTTGTGTGAGACTAGGTCCCAAAGGCTTAATAATTTCATCATTGAGTGAGCATACGCTGTAAAACCCATCATGTATAAAGATAGTTTTGGTTCTATTATTGGTTTCAATTAGTAATACCTTATTATTTTCTCTCGCAGCACTTATATTGGTCCACCGTGGGTAATACGTTACATCGCATTGAGCAACTTCAAGTTGCCCAGCCGTGTTATCGATAGTATGAAGCAGTTGAATAGACTGACCATTTGTTATTCCCGGGAGTGTAACAGAAATATTAAATATACAAAGATACTATATCATAACTTAAATATGAAATCAACTTTTATTACCAATCAGTCGATTCTAGAAAGTGCCTCTGGTCCTAAGTCTTTTGTTCATTTCCCTGATATCTTTGAAAAATACAGGGTCATGGCAACTAGCGATAAAATGGTGCATGATTGGTTCGACGATCCAATGCAATTTTGGCAGAATCAGTTAAACTTTGCCATATGGTGTGCCACAACAGGATGTGGTGTATCTCTTTATGCCCCAGGATTTGAACTAAATAAGTCTGTTTCTATCATTTCACAAGTACTATCAGATTAGACGTATACTTAAAGGAATTAGTGCCCCATTACCACAGGATCGAGCATGGAATTCCACAAATGATCCGCACAATAGGTTCGCGTATGAGCGTATTTGTCAGGAATTTAATGTTTCTATGAGTAAAGATTGGCGTATTAAAGGACTTAACCATGGTTTAGGTGTTCCGTACAATGGACAAATAACTGTTAAAGAAGAAAGTGATGATTTAGTTAA